CCGAAATGTGGTAATTTGAAGCGGAAAGATACATATGAATTGTTGAAAAGGAAGAGGTTGTTAATAAGAAATGTTTCTTACAAAAGAAAAGTTAATCATAGGGCGGTAAATAATCAATCTGTTACAAAAGCGCTTAGCAATAAGCGCTTCTATTAAAAAAACAAAAAGGATGTCAAATGTCATGTCATCCGAGGACACAATTCATCAATACGCAAATCTTAACTATACCCTTTTTTTTGTAATATTTATTTAACCGAAATCGGAAATAGGAAATAAGGAATAAGTTTACATCCGGAAAAAAGTGATTATTACACGGAGGAAACGATTATAATAATATATGATGAAAAAGGCGGAATAAAAAGGGGAAAATATCCACAATATCTTAAGTGGTCATCTCCATTCAATTGCTAATAATAATTCACTGAACATATGATGATATGTATTTTATGCACGCATATATCCATCTTATCATTCTACATTTGTACAACAAAGAAATGATGCGCAAAAGGAATGATGAAAAAAGAATGGATGAAGTTGACAAGGTCATCATTATATTATTGTATCATCATCATCATAACAATTATAACTACCGTATATTATGCGAGAATAGTAAAGAAAGTTTTAAATACAAAAAACAATGGGAATAAAAATTAATTGCTAAATTCTCATATTTTTTTAAATTAAATATTTCATTTCGATTAAATTGTTTACATAAATAAATAAACTTTCAAATCATTTAGATAAATTAGAAAAAAATGAAAATTTCTTTTAAATGTTTTTGCTAATTTTAGGACTTATTTAATTGATAGAAATAATTAAAATAAAAAAGTGATAAAATAAAGAGAATTTTATTTTGTGATAATGCGATAATTAATGTTTATTGATAAATCACTCCTAATAATGATAAAAAATTGTACCCCGTGAAAAACAAAACATTGATCAAATTTTATTTTTTAATATGGAAAATATTAGTAAAAATGATTGATCTAAAATAAAGGAAAGTAATAAGAATTGATTTAGCAATGTTTCAAATATTTTATGATATATATTGATAAAATTTCAACAATGTTATCATTTAGTAATAATTGATAATCAAATTATCAACAATTTCAAATAGTACAGTGATAAATTTGTTGAAATTTTTTAAAATTAATTCCATTTTATATTTCGGCATTGCTATAAACTCTTATTACTTTTTATATTTTTGCAACAATTGATGATAATTGATTAATGATGATTGTGATAATTAATGATTTGATTATCAGTCCTTCAATTTTATTTCTTTTATATTGCTTGCAAAATTATAACCATAATATTAATTTTACTAAACTAAACTATTCCTAGTTTTAATAATTTTTTTCTTTATCATAAGTGAAGAAAAATAGTTTATAAAATTCTTCGTAATTAACAAATTTGATTATTTAATCCGCTAATTAATATGAAGAATTAAATAACGAAAATATTATGAGTTGGAATGTAAATCGCTTAAGAAAGTTCTGAGCGGAAACTACTTTAATGTAGTATTAATGCTTATCAATTAAGCTTATCAGTTGTATTATTTCCGCAAAAAATACTCTTGATATTTTATCAACCGAAAGATTAATGAAAGCATATATGACATTTTTTTTACTTTGCAAAAAATTTCCAACAGGTTATCATTGAGGATTAGAAAGCTGACAAAATGTTGACACTCATCAAATCACTTATCAAAGCAAATTTACCTTTAACCCTTTGAGATCAGTGTACGAGAAAATATATTGTATCATCATATTATTAACATTAATGTTTGGACTGATTCAAATATTATTGATTATTATCAAAAATAAAATAAAAATTGTTGAAATTTAAATTGCTACTGTAAAATGCTCGTTTCTGATTTATTCATTAATTTAATTATTACTTTGTTATTATTCATTTGCAATTATATATTTTCTTTGAAATTTAAATATTTCCTTTAAAATTTTTTGATAAATTATGGAAAAACTTAATTGCATTTGTAATTAATACACGATTAATTATAGGTTAGAATGCAAAAAATCAAACCTTTCTATTTGTTAATTTTTAGTGGTTACAGTAGTATGAAATTATTTACAACAAAAGCATTTTCATATACAATCAATTTATTAACTATTATTTTCTTCTTTATTAAATAATTTTATATCTAACCTATAATTCAATTTATAACGACTATATTAAATTTAAATAATTTTTATTTGTAAAAATACGATTTCAAATATTTCAGATTGTTTTTATGTGAGTAAAAGAAATGCTTAACTATCATACTATTATTACAATCCTGTAAAGCTGTTCCGAATAAAGCATATAATGATAATTATATCCGGAAACCAATTAAATTCGATTAATCAACTTGATACCTTTTTACTCTTTTATTTTAAAATCATCTATGAAACAATTTACATTATCAAAGTATTATTTTGAAACCTTCTATTTTTGCTATTATCATTTCTAAAATAATTTAACATGCAGATAAGTTAAAATGATAATAAATGCAATAAAACAAAAAGCAAAATAAATTCAATTTGATATTTATATTCGATGAAAGGAATAACAGCGACAACAACAACAGCAACAACAACAACAACAACAACAACAACAACAACAACAGCAACAACAACAGCAACAACAACAACAACAATAAATAGACAACCACAATATATATCGTTTATTTGTTATTCATTTGTTGATGATTCATTATAATGATATAATCAGTAGTTTTTGATATGTATCATCATTTCATGCTGTGATATCCTTATGCATTCATTCTTATCCATTTTCCATTTCCTTATCGCATTAGCGGTTTCATCTTTTGATCTTTTTTTTTTTCATATCACATAGATGTTGATAGCTATGAACTTTTTCATTCTTTTTATCAGCAAGTAAAAATATTTTAATCGATCAAAGATGATGACAAACCCTTTTACTGTCACATTTGTAACAATATCTTTTTATCCATCTTGTTATCATTCTTGCTGTATATATGTGTGTATGTATGTATGTATGTATCACAACATTATCAATAAATCATTTTCTTAAATAATTGCCGCAATATATCCATTCTTATCTGATATATGTGTTACATCCACTTCAATGACATGAAATAAATACTTAAGAAAAATGCGGCGAAAAAAGTTTGTTTTTAAAATTTGGTATAAGCTTAAAATTTTATGAAATTAATTAAGATAAATGAAAGTTAAAAAAATTCATTTCAAAATTAGGTAAATTTAAAATTTTCATATTATTTTATCATTAAAATGATTGATAATATTAATTGTTGTAATAGAAATGATTTGATTTTCATTCAAAAGTATTTTTAATGTTTTCAACAATAGTAAATGTCGAAATTTTTACATCGAATTTTTACATCTAATGATTTTACTTTGGTGGAAAAATTATGAGATGGAAGAATAGTAATAGTAATTAATAATTAATAATTAATAATAAAATGATGAAAATATTAATTGTTGTGATAGAAATGATTTGACTTTCATCCAAAAGTATTTTTAATGTTTTCAACAGTATTAAATGTCGAATTTTTACATTCAACCGATGATTTTACTTCGGTGGATAAATTATAAGATGGAAGAAGAGTAATAATAATTAATAATTAATAATAAAATGATGAAAATAATAATTATTGTAATAGAAATGATTTTACTTTCATCCAAAAGTTTTCAACAATACTAAATGTCGGAATTTTTACACTTAACCGATGATTTTACTTCGGTGAAAAAATTATAAGATGGAAGAATAATAATAATTAATAATAATATGAAATTAAATAATGACGAAACTTTAACACTCACTTCAATCATTACTAACTGAATTATCGTAATTTGATAAATGAAACTGATATGAATTGATAAACAGATATATCTGTAATCTTTGTTTTTTTCTTTTCTTTAAATAATTCCAATTTTCGATTTATCTTATAAGAATTTAGGATGAATAAAAATCTGTGTGAAATTAACAAAATTGAAATTAATATTGTTTTTTTTTTAATAACGCTCAAATATCTTAAAATATAAATTTTGCTTGAGAAAAGAGAAAAAATTTGCATATTTTAAAATTTGTTGTAAAATTACTTCAATTATTATATTTTAAGTACTAAAAAAGAGCGGCAAAACTATTATTTATATTTCAGTATTTATATTTATATATATATACACAGATCCGATCCCTAGTCGTTATATTGTAACTTAAACTAAATTCACTAGAATTTCAGGTTAACACCAATCATTAAGCAATCATTCCAAATTATATAAATGAATTAATTTTTTTTGATTATATAAATAAATCCATTTTAACCGTATGAATCAGAAGCTAATTGTATTAGAAGAATCAGAAGCTCAATGAATCAGAAGCTATCAGAAGTATGTGAGAACATTTTGATTATTTATATAAATGAATTTATTCCGATTATATAAAATGAATTCTAAGTATTCAACAATGATCACAGTTAACCGTATACTTCTATTTATATTTAAAAGTACCAATAAAACTATCAATAAGTAACAAAATTATCATATTTATCATATATTTATTCCCTGTAGAAGAATGAATGATAATTTATGTAATGAAATTCAATAGCTAACAAAATTATTATCCGAAATTAATCTATTTCTTAAAATTATTAATTGAAATATTTATAATTAGGTAAAATGAATAGAACATGCTAATGCTTTGTTTTAATTTTGAACTTCTTAAAATCTTCTGAACAAAATGCTAATTTGAACTTCCTAAAATCTTCTGAACAAATATTTCAACTTTTTCAATATCTTAACAAATATTTCAATTTAAATTTTAATTTTCTTCAAACGTTAACATTTTCGAATGTGAAAAAATTATTCAATAAAATTTTCCCCGTAACTAAAAAAATTTTCATACATTTTGGAAAAAATTAAAAATTAAATTGATGTCACCTATTTATAGCAAAATTTTGATTTTGTCATACGGAAAGATTTATCGTATGAGAATTGTTGTTACCAGTTACGTGATTTCTTACTTCGTTTGTTTCGTTTCTTGTATCCTTGTTGACCGGAATAGTTCCGATTGTATCTGCTACTAATATCATCCGATTGTTGTTGCTGTTGCTTCTGTGAATGATTCTGATTTCCATTTGATTGTTGCTGTGAATTACATTGTAATTCGTCATTATTAGAAATTTCATGGTATTGTTGTTGTGGATGATTTTGTTCCCCATCGATTTCCAGATGCTTATGTGAAATATTCTTTCCGGTAACATTATGCCTATGTTCTTTTGGCGCATCTGAATACATCCCACCAAATTGATTTCGCCGGTGATATTGCTTACTACAAAATTTTTCACCATTTTTACGATCATCATTTGTTTCCAGCTTCGGTTGCATCTGTTCTTTAGAGCCTAATCTCTCTGACACTGTCGTTTTTTCTTCAGTTTTTCCTAATTCTTTACCACTATCACTTCGCTCTGCTTTTACCTCCTCTTCCGATAGTATCATTTCTTTTTCATTACCATTTATATCATTTATTCCGTCGATTTTGTCTGAATCATCAGAAATAATCATTTTAACGGTTTCATTATTAGTAATAGTTTCCGCTTCATGTTGTGTTTCCGGTAGATTCGGTTCAAATCCTTCCACTATTTCGTCTCTCCTATTTTCATGAGAATTACCATCACCTCCAATACTTTCTCCTAATATAGTATCGGAAATTTTTTGCTGAAAGAAAATTTGTGATCTCACATTTAGTGACATTTCCGTCGTTTCAGAAGGTTTAATTGAGATTGAACCACAAATTTCAATTTCACGCTTTCCATTATCATCTTCCACTAATATTTCCTCTTCAACAGCTACTTTTTCATTGCCTTCTCCTTCTTTTTTTGTTCTTAAAGAATCGGAAAGATCATCCGGAATGAATTCTTCCTTTTTGTCATTTGATGAAATAAAACATTCTGAAACACTAATTTCATCTCTATTCAATAAATCAATCGATTTTATAACTTCAACATTTGTAAATTCTGAATTCTTCCTCATTTCCCATATTGATTCCAAATTATTGGTTTCTAAATTCTCAATTTTTTTTTCTATCACTTTTTCAGATTCTAAACCAGTTTTATCGATCATCTGATCTGTTGATTCGTAGTTTCTCCAAATTTCTTCATATGTTGGCACTAAAATTTCCGTCCAAATTAACGGTTCAAAATCGATAATTCCAATTTTCTTTATCTTTCCTATCAATTCTTTTTTGCCATTTTCCAATTCTTTTGTTATTTTCTGATTTTCATTGATAATATCCTTTGATCTATTCTTCGCATTTATTTTATCATCTTTGTTCGATTGTGATTTTGCGCTTTGAGTTAATTTTGATGTTACTATTGGCGTAACATTTCGTTTTGTTACCTTAACATTGCTACTATTAGCAATATTTTTACGATATTTCAATCCAGCTTCTTTAACATTTCTTTCCATTAAAGTTGCAGTTTTTGTTGAAATTAAAGGTAAAGTAGCAGTAGCAGCTGATTGTGTTATCAATTTCTTATCATTTATCATATGATTGCCTTTTTTAGAATCTTTCAATGTTGGCGGTACCATTTTTGCTGTAGTAGTTGTTGGCAATGTTTTCTTGATTGTTTTTATGCTTGATTTAGGTAGCATAACATTTGAAATATTTTTACCAATATTTTTCGATACGTTTTGTGGCGATTGCTTAATATTTGAAATAGTCCTTAGGGAGTTTTTCTTCACATCCTTTTTTAGGGATTCAGAAGATCCAGGAGATTTTGCTTTAATTGCAGTCGTCGCTTTATTTACTGCAGTATTTTTATCACTTTGTTGATTAGCCATTTCATGTTTTTTGTGATCCGAAATATTTGATGCAAAATCCGACTTTTTCCCTTTTTCTGACACTATCTTATTTTCATCAATGGAAGTATTAACGTCAAAAATTTCCTCCTTCCTCTCATCCAAAATCATTTCCAATGATTTATTCGGAGCTTTTGTGTTACCTTCAATCTCAGCATCTGTTGCTTTTTCCTGTTGTTCTTCATAATATTCATGTTCATGAGATTTTTCGTTTTCAATCGGTTTTTCATTTTGAATTTCATTTATATTTTTAGGTTTTTCAACATCTTGCACTGACTTCACATCCATCAGACACTGCTCAGAACTTTTGTTAACATTACATGATACAAATTTTGCTTCTGGCTCAATTTCTTTCGAAATCTTTTGATTCGCATTTTTTGGATTACATTCTGACACCGATGATTCCGTAAGTTCTTTTATAGAGTTAACTTCATTTTGTTCTACAACGAATTCCAATTTATTCTCGGCAAAGTCGAAGTTTTTCAAACATTCTTCGTTAGTGGAAGTTGTTTCAAGTTCATCTTGCATTAAGGGGATTTCTTCCCTGATATGATAAGCTTTGTCAGTCGTTGTTAAGTGGATCATATCTTTCTCAATTTCTTCCATCTCAGCTATAATTTCCGGTGAAAAATACTCTAATTCCGCATGACCTCCTCTTGCAAGAGGTTCTTCTGAATGAACCGTTTCGGAAAATGTTGCATTATTTGAAGTCTGTTGAGATTTCTCATTATTTCCTGACACTAAATGTAATATTTCACATGGAATTTCTGCTTCTATCGGTTTTTGGTTTTCTATCATTGAGATATAATGTCCTTGTTCAGGATCATTAGTATCATTATATAAACTACCAATCACATCAAATAATTTTCCATCAATGAATTGAAGTCCGATGAAAATTGTTCTTGTCGTAAAATCCTGTTTATTTTCAGGAACCACATTTCTGTTAGTTTTCGGAACTAATTCACCAGTTGGATTTTGTTGCTCAATATTGTCTGTATTAAAAATGTTAGATGTCGCTCCACATTTCTCGAGCTGTTGATGTTCAAAATTCCGATTTTCCGAATTCTTATTCATCATTTCATTATTTATTTCTGTTCCATTTCTTCCCGAGCTTTCGTCATCATGTAAAATTCCAAATTTTGTATGTTTTTCGTTTTTCAACTCCGGCAGAAAATTTTTGACTGGATCCGAAATGTTTATGATCTCATTGCTCATCGTTTGTTGATCATTCAAATTACTGCCAGTTACCTGAGGAAGCACAAAATCTATTTTATCTTCAGTATTATTAGCTCCAACAAACGATTGTATCAGTTTCTCTCCCAAAACTTGATTTGCATAATTTTCGAATTCAAACGGAATTTGCTGTCGAATTTCAGTTTTATCAGGTATCTTACAAACCGGTACAATAAACGGTTGTTGAGAGTAAAAGTTATTCCCTTGTTGGAATTTATTCCGATTTCCTAAAATTGAATCAATATGCATACTTATTTCTTCTGCAAGATCAGCAAACAAAAATTTTAGAAGTATTAGGTTTATTTTCAGGAATTATTTTGGTTTCACAATAAAACTTTTTCACGTTGCTATAGATTTGTAAGTGTCAAACCTTGAGAATTTATTGCTTCGTTAACTTGTATAATATTAAATCCGGATGTGAATTGCTGCAATTCCGAATTGTCAACTGATTTTCTATCACGTAGCTCAGCATTATCTTCCTCGTTCTTATCATTCACCTGATCTGCCATTACTGAAACAAAAATAAAATATCGTTCAAATTTGCATCAATGTGCTTGCACGTAATAATGACAAACATTAATATATATAATTAATGAATTAGATATTGATATAAATTTACCATTGATGAATTGAATTAGATGCCGATGTGAACCGATTACTGTTAAATTAGATAATCATCTGAATTTATCATGAAATAAAATTTACCTCTCCGATTACGATTATTCGTATAATTGTAATGTCTAATTTGAATGTCTAATTTTGCTCATTTAATTTATTTTAAAATCTATTTTAAAACACATTGAAATATAGAGATATTATCAAGTAAAGTAATATAATAATCATTAATATTATTAAATGGAATAATATAGTGATTATCATCAATATTATCATTATGATAGGTAAGAAATCTTATATTTCAAAAATTTATCTAAATAATGAACAAATAAATTTTTCGCTTACTTCCAATTAAATCATATGAGGAAGAGATGAAAAATAGTCCGATGCATATGATAGGTATAGAAGGTAAAAATTAAAACGAAAATGATCATTATCAATAAATGATTATTATTAATTAAAGGATCAATTCCAATTTTAAATGAAATTATCAATAATTAAAAGAAAACAGAAAATAATTACGGTGGTATCATAATCTGAATGCTCTTTAGCTCATTCTAAAGAAAAAATGGAATTTCTTTTTCTAGCAACAATTTAATAATTAATAGAAGTATAATTAATTAATTACATAATCCGAATGCTCTTTAGCTCATTCTAAGGAAAAAATGGAACTTCTTTTTTAGTAACAATTTGATAAATAATTAAAGTATAATTAATTAATTAATTACTATCAGAAATATTAAATCATTTCAATCGTTCATCATACTATTTCCCCTTTTCTCTTAAAATCAAAATCAAATTTGCTTAAGAAAAGAAAAACATAAAGATAAATTACTTAGTTTTAATGAACAATTCAAAGGAACAAAAATATTAATTAATGTGTTTTTCCTTCTTCACATCGAATTCTTTCGATGAAACAACGATAGCTTCTCTTTTTTTTTTTGTTGCTGACAGTTTAGAAGTTTGAAAATTAATTTGAAATTATATTTTAAATTTATAAAACTTCAAAAATATTATAAAAATCTTTGCTTATATTTTAATTTTATAATAAATTTATATAGCAAAAAAAAATTCATTCAACAATTTCAAAATCTTTATGTTATTCATTATTTTCATTTTTAATTAATTATAAAAAAGCGAAAATTATTAATAAATTTTATTATGCTAATTAGCAATTTTTATTTTGAGATGTTTTATTAATAAAGTAATTCCAATTAATTAAGTATAAAAAATATTTCCACTTTTAATTATTAATAAAAAAGCGAAAATTATTAATAAATTTTATTACGGTAATTAGCAATTTCAAGTAGTTATGTTTAAAAAATATTAAAAATTTTTATTTGTCACAAAAAGACACAACTCCTTCTAATTCTTATATATTTAGGAAAATTTTGCAATCCACAAAATCTGTCAACACAAATAAAAGTTACTTTAAATATTTTCATAATAAAGATTGAGAGAGAGAGAGAGAGAAAAAAGGGAGAAGAAAAATCGCAAAATTTACAGAGCGATGAAGATAGTAAAGTAAACTAAATACCATTTCAACATTTCATTGCTTCCACTTTTCAAACGCCCATTTGACCTTGTCAAATTCTATCTTTCTTTCCTTCAAACATTCTATTTTCTAATCTCTTAAAATTAAATAATATCAGAGAAGACGAAAAAAAAGAAGACAAAAAGAAATTAAGCTAATATCAGGTAAACAAAGAATGAAATTAAAATTAAAAGTTTTGATAAGTTAAAGTAAAATTTTACTATACATTAAATATTGAAATGAATTTTAGGAAGGGTTAGTAATAAAATAAATAATTCTAATTAGTAAATTAATATTAGGATAAGTTAAATAAATTAGAAGTAAAAGTTTTGATAAGTTAAAGTAAGACTTTACTATAACATTAAATACGGAAATGAATTTTAGGAAGGATTAGTAATAAAATAAATAATTCTTAACTAACGGAGAGCAAATTAAAAGATCCAATCGTTATCCGATCATCTAACATTTCTCTTCCAATATCATCATACAACGATGCAGAAAAAAAAATCGGTCAAAAATCAACAAAATTGACGAGCTGAATATCTTACATCTCTTCTCCTTCATTTTATGTTTTCAACAAAAATTTTCCAAAAATGAAAAAGCAAAAGACATTTCATAAATTTTAAGTAGTCATTAAAATATTATTTAAAAAATGAAATCTATCAGATAAGAAGTTTTTTAATAATTCAAAATTTACGAAACAATCAATAATCTATTTTTAAACATTAGATATTTTCTATTCTATTGAAATTTTACTCTATTATCTTTTTACAATTAAACAACATTGAAATAAATGAAATGAATTCGTCAAAGATTGAAAGAGAAGCCAAAAAACATATTAATCATACAGTGTTTAATTTTTGCTAAATTCAAAATGATAATTTAAGAGCATTTATCAGTTATCAGCAGAAATTGCTGATAGCTGATAGATCGAAAGATGAGTTCTTTTTCTTTCGAGAAATCACTATAATAAGATATGTCGTATTTTTTTGAATTAATTTAAAATCAATAACAAAAAATTACTTCAATATCTTTTATGCAAATTATAATAGAAGTATAGATGAATTGTTTATTTATTCTATTTTTTCCTATTATTATTTAAATTAAAAAAACCTAAAATAATAATAATTAGATATATATTTAATATTTTTTATATAATTAATATTTAGATATATATTTAATATTTTTATTTTCTAATTGAAATTATACAAATTTTAAAATTATTTAGATTTAAAATAGAAATTATTAAACGAAAAAAAAGAATTGAAATTTTTAATAAACATTTATAGTTAATAGTAATAGTAAATTGATAGTAATAGTAATAGTAATAGTAATAGTAAATTGTTATGAAATAATTTTAAAAAAGAAAAAAGATATGAAAAATGAAAAAAATGGAAAAATGTGGTAAACGATCGGTTAAGGTGTAGGAGAAGTGCTAAGAGCTAAAATAAAATGAACAACTGTGTTGTATAACTTCCAACGAAATATAACACAAATTTTCGAAGTATATATATATATCCCTAACTGATAATAATCATTACATTTGCCTATTGGTTGAACATATTTTCTTATCATAAAATTCACACAATCCTAAAAATACTTCCGTTTCATTTCATTTTTGTTTCCCTAAAAAAAATTCAAATGTTATTTTACATAATAAGTACAGGAAAATACATAATAATATTTTAATAATTTTTTAAAATATTAAAAACTAATTAAATAATTAAAGCTAGAATTGTTAAATTTAATTAAATAAATGCATCTAAATACAATAATAATAATAAACAAATAAATAAATATAAATAATATATTTTAATATTTGAAATAAATTAAGCAATATTATGCTAATATAAATATCAGAAATCATTTTAATCATTCTTAAATATTAAATAAATGGATAATCACTTATCATTAGTTCAATAACAGTTCATAATTTATGATAAATTTAAAGTGATAAAATGTTTCGATCAATGAAATGGTATATGATATTGACATTGATAATATCACTGAGCAGAGAAGTTTATTCGAAATTTCGATAACCGTGAACAAATGAGAACAATAACCTTTTAATACCTCATTTGATGAATTTTTTTCTTCTTCATCATCTCTCATATATCTTTTCCCAGCCGCTCTTGCCACCCATACCTTTTCAATTTACACTTTGCATTTATTTCATACTTTTAACTTTTCAATATTTTACTGCAGAAATTTTCAAAGTTAAGCATTTTTTTTTGTACAATAGAAGTTACTTCTTTGTTCTTTGCAATACTTAATGGTAGTAATTAGTAGTTCATTATCTATTTCAGGATAGTAATTAGTAGGAGAAAATTTAATATCTAAATTTTAATTTTAATTTATTAATTTGCTAGATTCGAATTTCGAAACTTTACATATTAACTGAATTACAGCATTTATTTTTCGTTTTTGTACAACAAAAGTTTCTTCTTTGTTCTTTGTATACTTAATGATAGTAATTAGTAGTTCATTATCTATTTCAGAGTAGTAATTAGTAGGAAAAAATTAAATATCTAAATTTTAATTTAAACGTATTAATTTGTTAGATTCGAATTTCTAAACTTTGCATATCAAATGAATTACTTTATTAATCCAATGATTTATTCTAATTTAAAAATGTTAATTTTTCGTAATCTTTTGCTTCTTTCTTAATATTATATGTAATATAGCATGTCTGAAGAAAAGATACGAAATTACATAAGAATGATTAATTAAAGAAAAATATTGACACTTCAAAAAATTAATAGCACTATCATAACTAAAACAAACTTGACAACAATATATTATTTCTTCTTATTTGCATATATTCTAGACGAAAATCATTGTCATGTTACTGTAAACAACCTTCTCTATCAATTTCACTTTTTCTCTAAAATTTACAAATGTTTAATCATAGAATTAAATTTACAGATTCTCATTGATACACATGCCGTATGTAAGCCGCTATGTTATTTTCGGATGATTGAATTCGGTCAGTTAATTCATCTCGATGCGAAAATCAGACAACAACGAAGTTTCAGTTTGCCTTCTTTAGCAGCTTCTGTAGAATTTGACGTATCTTCTGTTTGAACTTAGATGAGAATTTCATCATTAATTTCTTAGAAGAATCATATTCCCTTCTATAATTCTGAAATGTATTGTTTGATGTATTGTTTAAAATGTTGTAAAAATGAATATTTTTAATGAATATTCTACTGATACGTTCTTCCTCTCATATTATTTTGAATGTGTACAAATATAAATATATGATTGATAAAAAATTATTGAAAATGAAATAATTGCCGAAAGAAATAACTAAATTCGATCAAATGATAATTGAAAAAAACATTTGGGATGACAAGATAGATTGAAAAGGATAATTTGTTAATGGCAGGTTAAAAAATTTGCAAATTAAGGTCAACTGAATTCCATCCAAAAAAAACTAAGCTTAAAAATGATGAATAAAAATTTTGAAGTAATTATTGTGCGTATCATCCAAAATTGATTGAAATCAGTGAAGATGATACGATAATGTTTGAGAGCTTTTCATATAATGAAATGCTCAAATTATTCCAGCGGAGAATTGTAGAGCTTCAGACTTCAATGTATAATTCCTAAACAGCTGAAGTTAAGATCAACTTGCTTATTAAATTTTCTCATCTTCCAATATATGATAGCTTGCTTACAATAGAGGACGAGATAAAGATGGCATTGTGAAGGATGGATATTTGGAGAGAACAAATGAGTCTAAAATTTTTTAACGACAAATGAGGCTATTCTAAGATTATCTAGCGACAAATGACGTTATGCTAGAATTGTCTAGCGACAAATGAGGCTATGCTAAGATTGTTTAGCGACAAATGACGCTGTACTAAGATTATCTAGAGATAAATGAGGCTGTGTTAAGATTATCTAGCGACAAAAAAAGACTATGCTAAGATGTCTAGCGACAAATGAGGCTGTGCTAAGATTATTTAGTGACAAATGAGGCTATAGTAAAAGTGTCTTGTATAAAAATATCTTTAGGATCAAATATTATGATGCTTCATTGCTTCATATCATCCATTTTTTGCTATTCGCAGTGAACACTTCGAAACATAAACAAAAAAAAGGCATAGAATCTATATGAGTCAGTTAATTAGATTATGCACGTTTCATATTTCTCCGCACGTACATTTTCGTACCAAAACAAATACTCATAGTTCTTTTTCACGTAGTTGCTTTTCTGTTTCATCGTTTTTTTGGAAATGTGTGGTAAATTTGTTGTCGGAAAAATTTCTCGAAATTTCTTTATTTTTAAATTATTTTTGAATTTTGAATAAATTTAAATATTTCATTCTATTAATTCATTCAGATAAATGAGCGTGCCGAAAATACAACCAATGGAGGATTTACCGTGTGATGAAATTGCTGCAAAATTACCACTTATTCGGGATCTATTAATTGTAATCCGTGGTAGTGATGATAACAACGAAATAAACGATTGTATCGAAAAGTTTTGTGAAGCATTTCGTAAAGTAAGCATTCTTTTGATTTTACATTAAATAATTTTCTGAAGAAAAGATGAAGTAATTCAAATATTATCTGGAAAAGAGAAGCAGTTTGAACAATAAATTGAAGTCTAGTAATTCAATAGTTGGTTTTTGTTGCCAATTAATTAAATATTGTTTTTTATAGGCTTGAAAGTAAAGGATGAGAAAATAATTTCCAATTTGTTTTTGTGCTAATATTTTAGCAAAAGTTCTACGATACGAGCACTTCTGCATATATTTATAACAAATTCAATCTTAGAATGATTTATTTTCGAACTATTCATTTTTTCGTAGAAATTTTTATAAACTTTTGAAAGAATTATTTAGCAAGGATTGGAAACAAATGTTGTATTGGGTGAAATAGAATTATGGCTTTGGTATTTCACTGGTCAATCGCAAGCCGATAAAAGTGCTGATCGATGCCTTTCATTTTTTGTGAAGTGTGGTTTAAGGATGCTTTTGGCGGATACAGTTATTCCTCCACTTTTCACCCTTCTCTTGAAACATATTGAAAATGTAAGGATTTCTAATATTTCTCATAAAGTGCCAAGTGTCTGCATTTGTCTACTGGATAAATTCTGGCCAGTTCATATCCAGCCACTTGAAATGTGAAAGGTTAATGACGACAGATGCATGATAGCTGATTATTTAATACTGTTTCAGATTCAATTCTCAGTCTGTGATTCCTCACGATACCGATGCTGTCGACTGATAACATCAATTTTTGAAGGTATTGAGGAAATAGAAGCCGACTATGAACCTACGAGTTGTACGGAAGAAGGAAGTTTGCCTATAGAAGTGATGGATAATCTGATCAAAATCTTGAAGGGAAGGATATATGATAAGGTTGAGTTAATTTTTTTTTGCGGTACGAAGAGTTATTAAGTGTATCGTAGCGGACAGTACAGCACCTGAGCGCTGGTAGGTGTTGTAACTAGTTGAATTAAAGATCATTCAGTTACCATTTAAACTTTGTAAACTGATTCAAGAGATTTTAGAATACGCAGAGTTCGTATCTTTCATAACAACTTTAGAATCCATTTGTACGGGCCGAAACGATTCGATCGCTGTCCATTTTGTACAGAATCAATGAAAGAAATGAAGATGATAATGGATTTGATTGCACCAAGTGTAAGACAAATTTCTTCTATTTAATAAACAGATGATAGGATAATTTCAGAGACTGAATAAATTAAATTTATTGGAATTTTAAAGGGTAGCGTTTAAAAGAAAGAATGTGATATAAGAATCATATAGCAAAGAGTTGAATAGTACTCCTTAATAGAAATAGAAGGATTACTTCTGAAAGAGTCACTGTTGCATTACAAATAAAAACTACTGGAGAATGCCTCCGTTACTTTCTGGTTTTGAGTTTTAAGATTCGGACAGCACAGATCTGTAAATTAAGCAGAAAGCATATTTCTTCGATGGAAGAGACATGCCTTTTCTCAATCGACATCCTTTGCGAAATCAAATTCTGTTTTATTTTTCTAAATGCTATCAACTTCGCTTTTTTCCTAAATTTACTTACAGACATCTTTGATGCTTTAAAAGATATTTCGCGTGATGTACGGACAGAGGCAGTTCATTGTGTACCTCTATTTTCTGAAAGCGACATTTCAACATTTATTTCAATGATTCTGATGGAAAGCGATAACAGTGTTCGTCGCCTTGCTTTTAGTCGAATTGCATGCAATTTGCATGTGCGCTCACTTACTGTCCAACAACGAATGCAACTACTCAAAGCTGCATTTGCTAGCGACGATGGTAGTATTTTATTCATTAATAACGGTTTTGAAACTTAACAGTTGAGATTCCTAAGCAAATTAATGAATTTTAAAGTGAAGTTTGTACTGCACTTCCAAGATTGATATTCTTCAGATTATTCTGCTCTACTTCATTACTTTTGTAAATTTAAGAAAGAGGGTTTCAGGAGTGTTACGGAAAATTGGTGAACGAATGATTATGAACTGGGCTGGAAATGATGTAGTACCATTACTTAACCTTCTGCAACATCTCGATTTTCTCTCTGATTCACAAACAAGCTACCAGGTAAGTAGGTAATTTTCCTAAAACCTTGTCCTTTCAAATTTTTGCGCTGCCGACTTGGATTTTGTTCGTTCACCAATCGCTGTATGATTAGTGCACCAGTTTTAATCCTTTTTTTAATTGAATTTTTTAAACTATAAGATCTCTTTAATCGAGCTTCCAGGCTCGCTCACGTGAGTCACACGAAGATTTTTTTCTACAACAGGAATACATTATCTCTTTTTTTCCCACGGAAATTGTTTTGTGATTATCGCCTCAGTTATAAATTTTATGCTCAGTTAATTCATAAAACTTGCTTAAGTTATTAAATAAATTGAAAATAAATCACGGCATTCCGCATTCATTTCTCTTTAAGATTTCCATTTTTATAGGCTTTAATGATATTTCTCAAAAATTATCAGAGGGAAATAGGAAGTGCACGAACCAGTGAAATGCTAATGAATCTGCGTGAATTGTGCAATGCGGCACAGGTTAAGTCAGTCAAAACAGATATGACGCCATATATTAATTTCGTGAACTATGATATACTTGATCGACGAAATTATACTGAACTGCGCTACAGGTTTTGTTTCGCTTCTGTAATTATTCAATGAAATTACAATGATTCATATATTATTGGCATATCCAAAAACTTTTCGTCCTGAATTTTACCACTCATTGTTGAAGTCGTCGGTTAACTGTTTCATGAAAGTGGTTTCGATTTAATTGCTTTCAATACGGCATTGGCATTGGAGCCCATTGACACAGGCATTGACAGAATTCAGTATTATGTTAGCGAAAAAAATGAAGGAATATTAAATTGGTTTTATCTATTGATACTTTAGCTGCTATCAACGAATACTGAATGAAATAATTTGGAACACTAGATCTGTTTTACATTAATGTACATTGTAATTTCCGTTTTAAAGTAGTTTAGTACAGCAGTAAGTAGGGCGGTCAAGAGACAAAATATTTGTGGAAAAGTGAAATGCGCAGTAGCCAAGGTCAAAATAAGAAGCGCCCAGATTTTTAGCTCCAACAACAATCTGTATGTGATAGCCGGTCGTATATATATTTGGCGAAGTTTGTGTGAATATTGTCAGTTGAATGCTGTTGATGAAGCAGATCGCTGTGAATCTTTGCATGTTTTGCTTCCCGATATGGTTGATTTCACTGACTTCCTTTACAAGTAAAATATTTGTGGTTCTTTCCAAAAATTTTGAGCACCAAGTATATAATTCACTTAAATCCTCAAAAGTTAAAATCAATTAAAATGATTTTTTCAGTTAAAATTAATTGTTTAATTTTGGGAAATTTCATATAAGTCTTGCAGATTTGAGAACTGCTTAGAAAGACTGCTTAAGATTGCTTAGAAATATTATTGAAATTATCCACTTAATATTACTAGACGCGCCCTCCATACTTTGTTTTTAAATTTTATGCTGCATCTAAACTCATAATTTGGTAGAAAATTGGTCACTTTTTGCCATCATTCTCTTTTTTTATTTAAATCTTTTAAATGGAGCTGTGTTTTATTGTATTCATTGCAACTTTACTAGTATTGAGTGGATAATTTCAGTAGCTTGGCTACATGGACAGCTTCTGCAGATTCTGTGCAAGGAGTTCTTGAAGAATGTATCATCTTTCAGTTATGCTTGCTAACCCGATTGTTTGATCAAACAGATCGAGTTGGAATGTAAATTGAAATTTTTTTATGCTTTACATTCTTTGTTATTATTTTTTACGTTTACTCTAATGCGTGTTAATGTAAGCTTTCTTGTCAAAACTAGTCAGCAAAATTCAGGGAAAAGTGGCAGAACACATTGGAAACAATCATTTCTACACGAGATTTGCCAAATTCAGAAAAAGTGTTGGAGTTCGCAGTGTATGAATTATTCGATTTATTCTATGAAAAGGAAGGAAAGTTGGAGGTTAAAAATAAATGATTTTTCAATACCATTTCAATTCTTGAAAACTATACTTTGCTTTTAAATTTTTTCTCTTGTGTGAATTTCCACCATCCAGCTTTGTAAATCTTGACCGTTGTATTTATTTCTCTTTCGTTGATAAAAAAAATCTTTATGTTGCTTTATTATTCATTATGACAAAATGAATAGTGATTAAAGCTTAAACGAGTACTAGAATATATGATTCACTATTTGCTAACCTGACTTTCCCAAACTTCCATTGATATAATGGAGCAATAATTTCTAATTTGAACTGCAGGAATTCCTTGAATGGTGCTGTTATCGTATAAACAGTTTTTTCACGCGTGATCTGAATGAAACTGAAGAACTGCCACTTACCAGAGCTTTGCTGGCAAAGCTTGGCGTGGATTACGCCATGTCGTGTGAAGCAAATATTGAGGAAGACAACAATTATGAGGTATAGCGCTGAGCTTCGAAAGCTTTCTGGAACTTATGTAGCAGAATTAGATTTGCTTTCAAAATTCAAATAATGATGAAGATTTATAAATAATTTTTCCATTTTTAGCCAAAAAGTCACAACATACAACGTGCTTTGCTGGTACTCCGTGCTATAATGAGAAATTCTTGTACTGCAAAAGTTACTACCTTCTTGCGAACTGCATTCGATCAAGTGGTTTGTTATTAGTGTCATTTTAATTCGAGTATAAGTTCTCTTTTCACATTCTTCCAGTCTCTTTTTCCTTACATTTGAATTCTATTAAATGTTAGTGGTGATTTCAAGATTATCCTAAAGGTCTTTCATAAAATCACAAGTCTAAATTTTGTTACTTTGTTTTTTATCTCTTTTATAAAGCGTCATATTTACTAGATACATACCTTATGATTAAATTACCATAGAATCATTAATTTCAAGTAGCATGTAACTATTTGCATTTATTCTTCATTGTCTTGCTTTAAATGCATGTTGCAGTTAATAGTGATAATTCATATTCTATCGAAATTTCATAATAACTATTCATTTTGTCAATGTCATTTTTTAAATATGATCAGAATCTTGCAGGTGGATACGTACTGCACAACTCTAGATCCAATGATTTGGGCTTCTCTTTCCGAAGTCATTGGTATTGGTGTAGCAATTGATGGACGGATTGCTCGTGAACGAATTCATGTGTTACGTTCTGCTATTGAAGTCGAAGGAGCTCCTACACGTGTTAAGGTTCTAGCAAGTCAATTCTAAAAATAGGGAAGATATTGTCATATGATGGGGATGTGTAGCATATGATAGTATAAATACAATCGTTTGTTCATATCAATTTAAGATAACAAGCTCAAAAAACTTCAGTTTCCACTGGATTAATCCAACCAATTACAATTACTCTGCTAAAACATTCACAAGCTTAATAAAATGCAGGCAGTGGCTCTTACATCCATAGCTGCGTGCGCGATTTTGAGAAGTTATGCAACAACTGCTAAGTTATATTATCCGGAAATCGTAGACAGCAGCGTTAAAAAGGGACAAATGCTTCTACAAGTTTTTGAAGGATTTATATTTAATGAGGTGAACTGCGAAGTTTATTTATTAGTTAAAAATTGACAGTTAGGTTTAGAAGCGCTCAGAATTAGCGTTCTGCAAATTTTTTCCTAAAATCTCTTTTTATTATTGAAGTGAACTGGTTGCAGTTTATCCTTCCAAATAATGGAGACACCCTTTAAAAAAGTGTGCTATTCTTTTATAAGTGAAATTCAGATACAATGAATCTATGAGACAACTCCAAAATATTTATAATGCTACCAAATGGACCCAAATAGATTGACGAAAATATCCATCATTTAACGTTAGCACAAGCTTTGTCTTTATAGCTTTATCCGAGCATTTTGTGATAAAGGATAGATTTTGGGATTATAAAACAGAACTCATTTGTAATCACATATTGAAATGCAATATTGGAAGGTCTCAGAAGTTTACTTCTTTGTAGGATGCCGAACTTTCTTTTGCGGCTGTTGAAAGTATTGGTAAAATACTGTATCACGGATGCCTTTGCTTTCCGTCTGCATTGGCCGGCCTACTTTTACGATATTTTGATAGCTCATGCCAACCGTATCCATATACTTTTTTAAATTATTTTTTCAGTTTTTATCCCGCATCAAATAGGTAAAAATTTCTTTTCTTTTGAAAGTAGAAAAATTTCTTCGACTTCATTTGTTCTTTTTTTCATACGTCCCTTTTTCTTCATTAAGTTTCCTTTTTTTCAGTATGCCACCAACACCTTATTTTCAGAATTTTTATTAATTCAAACCATTTCGGGAGATAATAGATCTTCATAAATTATCAGAACTAGTATCTTTACCTATTAATATTGTAAATATTGTATTGAACGTGCATTAACATTTTGTTCCCAATACAGAGAAAATATGATAGTTCGTAATCTATCAGTGATAAGTTATCATTATAGTTATATTAATTAAGTGTTGAAAAACTGTCAGAAATGAACTTTGCATTGATGATAATTAATAAAAATAGTAGCAGACTTCAGAATGTTATTTCTATTACAGCATCAATCAGCATAAGCTAATCGGCGCATTGAGGCATGCTTTAAAAGTATTGGATGAAGCGCAGTATGGTGAAAGACTCTTGACTGGTATTGATGCAAGCAGAATGGTTAATTTTGTGGCTAAAGCAGTTAGAAAATCAGCACTTTCAAGTTCTGCTAAGAAAGAGAACTTGAAACAGGTAGGAAAGGTTGCTTTACAATGAGTAGTTTTAGAAAGGAAGAAGCAATAATCTTTAATGTTGGTGTTACATTTGTATAGCTACTGTGTAAGTTTCAATATGTGTGTTACTATTATATGTTGCTTCCAGTATGGTTAAATTACTGAGGAGGTTTTCTAGAGAAAAAAAAAAGGATATAAGAGGTATTCAAATTTTTAGTTGTGCGCGGCCTAGATCAGTGATTAACAATTTTGAGATCGTTTGATAGTCTGCCACTTTGTTTTGTTATTTTGGATATGGGATATTGCAGAACTATTGCAAAGTTTACAGTCATGTAATGAGGAAAATAGTTTTGTTATCGTTGTATGGTTTTAATTATAATGATTCGGATAAGCAACCAGCCAAGTTGAATAGTTGGATAATTTTTTTGTTGGTTACTATAATAGTTATACAATTCTAGACCTATCCTCCGCAATTCTTTTTAATCAATTGTTTGTTGGATTGGGTTATCAATAATGCCGAAAGTGATTTGAGTGCAGTTTGTGTGGGAGCTCTTGCACATACTTCACCGGAAGAATTTAGTTACAACAACAAAGCGTATTCTCATCTACTCAAGCGAACCGCTCGATGTATCAATGTAATATCTGCAAAAATTTTTTCCATGCAGTATTTATGCCGTATACGTGGTATACATGCCGTATGCATGCCTTGTCAATTATTTACTTAGTTGTTGTCTTCTTTTTTTCAAAACTAATAGAATAGGTAATTAAGAATAATATCTGCTTTATTAATTCTTTCAAAATTTTTTCTATTTTTTTTTGAAATCAAAGTTTTAAACTTTTTCAAACACTTCTGACTTCTTGCAGGTATTATTTACACTTGAACTTGACAAATTAATACCGGTAACTCGGCGATTTGAAAGACGGCTTAAGCATAAGGGAACAAATGAAGACGAAAATTAATTTAATTAAGCAAAGGCTATATAATTTCTGCTGTTTTTTAACTTAGTTGGTAAGTTGACATTAGTTTATTTGTAATTCAGATGTTTTTCTCAATTGGAATTCTATTTATCTGAATTAGTCAGTTTTTCATTTATTTTTATTCAACTTTCCTTTATCTTTGTTTCACCATTAATTTTTATGCTATTTTTGACTATTTTGCATCTTTACTCAATCCATTCCCTTTACTCGATTATATGACCAGCAGAGCTGTTCCTATTTACTACCTTTTCATCTCATGAATCATCATGATAATCATTTTTCCTAAAAATCTTTCAATTTGTTTACTAAGTTATTTTCGCTTCAAGTAAACCTTCTCTTCACTTAGTTTCCATCAATATTAACTATTATCGCTGAATTTTCTTTTCTTATCGTCCCGCGCTAGCAATGTGATAGCAACAGTTGCGATGCAAACTGTCAGCACTCGTTCACGGTTTTTAATGATTCAGGAAGAGATACTTTGCTATCTCTTTTCCCACTACCAAAATTTAGAATACAAAATTACACTACCAAAATTTATCGTTTTCCATGGAAGGCTTTTTGTAGGAGAGATGGGGGAGTCCGTGAGTTAAGATATTTTCTAGAACGAGTGTGAATTGAATTACAGAGCTTTTGGTGGTATTGGCAACAAATTCTGCTAGCAATTCATACTAAATGAGCTACTTTGCAAACACTGTAAAAAGCAATATATAAACCTTCTACTAGATTCTGCATTGAAGTTTTTGGAGCATCTCAAGAACTAAAATAGATGAGATGGAAAATCAACTGGTTAGGAATAATTAATCAATGTTGCTAATATAACAATTTATTTCGGTGATTCAAATTGTTAATGAAAGAATATCATCTCTTTCTTCATAAACTACGTATGCTTCACACGAACCTGATTTTCTTCATTGAAAAAATCTTGATAATTTGTAATTCATACATTCTTCCCAAAAACTTGCATACTTGCATCATTGCTTATTTATAATTATGGCATTATATTAATTAAAACTAACAATTCATTCTGCAATCGTCATTAATTTCATTTTCCAATAGTTAGAAAAACTCACTTCTAACGAGAATTGTATTTTCAGGTTAAAATCGATATTTGACAGATGTTTCTTTTTCATGAACATTGATTTTTTTATAAAAGTTGTTTGGTGTAGAAATTTATTGTTTTTATTGTGACAAAATATTTGTTCATGTATAAAAAGTTGAAAGAGTGTAAGTTTGAGACACTTTTAATCAATCTTTCATGATAATTTTTGAATTGCATTGTTTGATTATTTTAATTGTTAGTTCTTTGTTTCACTATCATTTAATGATCTATTTGTTATTGTTGATAATTTCATCACTTCTTGTTCCGTTATTTATTTTTAAGGTTTTTGATCGATTCAATTTCAGAAAGCTTTTGTTAGTCAAAAACATACAAAATATTTTTGATTAGATTTTCATATACCCAAAAATAAAAAGCATAGAAATGGCTTTATTGTAATCACATTTCAGTGTCATAATGGTTGATGCTATGATAGCTTATTGATAATCATCATTGTCAATTTTGATTTTTTATGCCATATAATGTTAAAAGTTCGGAAATTTTTTTGATATGACAGTTTGATTCACCAACTGAAATAATGTCTCATAAAAATACGGAAGATATGATGTGTGACAATGTGTCACTACCAAAAAGACATTTATATGATAGCTATAAATTGTCGAAAATAAGACTTTTTTTTCCATTCATATATCATAATTGCCAAATGAGTTAGTTTTCTTTAGCAAATATTTATATCTAAAATTTGATATGACATTTGACCTTTACTCTAATATCGAATATTTTAGTGGCTAATTTTCAATTGAATATTTTATTCTTAACGATATATCATTAAACAGAGAGTGGTAAATATGCACACCGAAATATTAAATGAAGCTGAACTGTTAGATGAATGGAGCTGATGAAATAGTATCAGATATCAGTATGTATTTTTTAAGTAAATGAATAAATTGAAAATAATATTCCTTTAATAGCATGAAGCATTACGGTTGGTAAATCTTCAATTCCGTTTATCATAAAAGTTACTAAGCTATCATAGCACATTGCGAGTTAAATGCAGGGAATGATAATTTTAATTTGATTTCCTATTAAGCAAAAATAAAAAGTATATTTGTTATTGATAAGAATGATTGCTGAAATTAAGTTAAATCCATTTAGTTTTAAAATTTATATTAATTCGTAAAATGACGAACGAGGAGAAATAAAGGTAACATATCTAGAGAAAGTAGGAAAAAGAAAGGTTGGAAAATGAAGATGATATGGGTAAGTTTTGCAGGATGTTAGTTTTACACGCAGATATGATATTTGATATGTTAGATCACTCGTATTTCATAATTGCACCTTCTGTTTTCTATTATTGTTTTAAATTTCAATTATTGTTATTATCATTATTTATAATTGCTTTAAATGATGATATATTATTATTATTGTGTATCAATATTATTGTTAAAATTTTTAGAAACAGATATATTGCAATTAGTCGTAATCAATTTCATTATTGATATCATTAATTAATTACTAATTGATATCAAATCATAAATAGTATTCTTTGTAACAATTATAATTATCATTTATTATTCATTTATCACTCAATCAAATAATAAATCCAATGATTGTTAATATTTGAAAAGAGTATTTGAATAAATTATTAATTAATACATGAAGTAAATGTGAAAAGCTCAATTGTATATCAGTATTGAAATAAAGCATGCCATAGTATATCTATCTATATATATATGATAGAGTAATTATGCAAAGCTATAAGATTGATTAAATACTGCAAATTATAGAGTATCTCTCTCTCTTTCCCTTTCTCCCTCTTTCTCTCTCTCTCCCTCTCTTCAATCTACAATTTTTATAGAAGAGAGAGAAAAAGAAAAAGTACGACAAATATATACTGCTTTTAACTAAGCACCTTTGAAAATACTTATACTCTCTCTCTCTCCATCCATCTTCCTTCCTTCTTTGATATTTTCTCTACTTGTTTTTATTCTTTTACTCTTCTTATTTGATTGAAAATGAAATTGAATTATAATAATGAAACGTACGTATAAAATGATCATTTTATTTTACGCTTAATTCTAATTAAATTTACGTCATTATTTGACGAAATATATTACACGTATATTATATTATATAATCAATTAATATAATTCAATTAAATTTAATTTTCAAATTCTCAAATTTTCCACTATCCTCAAAATATCAAATTTTCCTCTTATCGATAATATACATATTTGCTCATCATAAATAAATATATCTATAAAACAAATATACGTAAGCAGATAAACAGACACGTATGGATAGATAGCTAGATATAGATAGATAGATAAATAAGCAGACAAACAAACAGAGAGAGAGAGAGAGAGAGAGAGATAGACACACATATACATATATATATATATATATTCGTTTATTTTATCATTCATTGCTTAAGCCAAAGACTTCATTTCATTTTTCTCCTTTATCCATCCATCCTCTCATACTTCTTCATTCCACTTATCGCATTGTTGGAAAAATATTTTTGTTCATTGATATGAATATATCATTTCCTATTCATTTCAATCAATGATAAATGTTATTTGAGTTTAATAGATGGCAATGATAACAATTATCTTTTGATATTTCTTTTTCCATTCCAATTTTTCTTTCTAATTAAATTAACAATAATATTATTGGGAATGATAAGGGAATGTATGGATGGATAGAAAATTTGAAATTGATAAATAATATAAAGGTAATTAATTAATTAATTAATTGAATAGAGGAGAAATGGGAGAATAAACATTAATAGATATGCGTATAATCGGAAAAGTTAGATTAGACTGATAATAGGAATTATTGCAGTTAGGGAATGATAGATAGAAAATTTGAAGTTGGCAAATAATATAAAAAGTAATTAATTAATTAATTGAAAGAAGAGAAGAAAAGGAATAGACATTAATAGATATATATGTAATCGGAAAAGTTAGATTAGACTGATAATAGGAATTATTGCAGTTAGGGAATAATAGATAGAAAATTTGAAGTTGGCAAATAATATAAAAGTAATTAATTAATTAATTACTTTGAAAGGAAAGGAAAAGATGTGAAAAATTTTTTGTATATTTTATTACTACAACTAATACTTTTCTTATTTTTCATTCATATCATTGAATAAATTTGTCAGTGGTGAAAGTAAAATGTAAAGTATATTTTGGAGTGTATTTTGTGCTTGGCTCATTAAACGTTTCATTTTCTGTCCTATCCATTTTTTATCTTTCCTTTTTGCAATTTTCTTTTCTTCGATTTGAAATAAGATCCTTTCGATTTTAATTCCACTGAATTTTCTTTCCCCCATTTTCTTCAACTGCAAATACCATTGAAAAGCCTTCTTATTTAATCTGCCTTTCTTTTATTAATCCAAATATATATGTTTTTTTTTTTTTGAAAGTAACTAAAGCTTAATTTGAATTTAATATAACATGGATATAAATTTCATTGAAAAATTTTTGAACGATTGAAAGAAACGAGGATGATAGAGGGTTGAGAAAGGATAGTGGGATAAGAATATTGCGATAGTGAAAGAAAAGGGAATAGGAAAATGCGATAGTGAAAGAAGTGCGGAGTGTAGGAAATTGCGGCAGTGAAAGAAGTGCGGAATAAGAAATTGCGGCAGTGAAAGAAGTGCGGAATAAGAAATTGCGGTAGTGAAAGAAGTGCGGAATAGGGAGTTGCAGTAGTGAAAGAAGTGCGGAATAGGGAATTGCAGTAGTGAAAGAAGAGCCGAATAAGAAATCGCGATAGTGAAAGAGCGGAATAAGAAATTGCGGTAGCGAAAGAAGTGCGGAATAGAAATTGCGGTAGTGAAAAAAGTGCGGAATAGGGAATTGCAGTAGTGAAAGAAGTGTGGAATAGGGAATTGCAGTAGTGAAAGAAGAGCCGAATAAGAAATCGCGATAGTGAAAGAGCGGAATAAGAAATTGCGGTAGCGAAAGAAGTGCGGAATAGAAATTGCTGTTGTGAAAAAAGTGCGGAATAAGAAATTGCGGTAGTGAAAGAAGTGCGGAATAAGAAATTGCGGTAGTGAAAGAGGTGCGGGATAGGAAATTGCAGTAGTGGAAGAAGTGCGGAATAGGGAATTGCAGTAGTGAAAGAAGAGCCGAATAAGAAATCGCGATAGTGAAAGAGCGGAATAAGAAATTGCGGTAGCGAAAGAAGCGCGGAATAGAAATTGCGATTGTAAAAAAAGTGCGGAATGCAGGAAATTGTGGTAGTGAAAGAAGTGCAGAAAAAAATGCAGCATATCGAATGCAGCATTATTAATCACTTATGTAAATATTTTCCTTTTATAATGAAAAATGTTAAGATAAAGTCTATTCCTTTTTCTTTTTTCACTGATTAAATTATGCTTAATGAAATTAGATGCGGAAAATGTATTTTCTCTCTAACGAAATTAAATGAAAATTTCTTTCATTTAGTTTATATTTATAAATTTAGTAATTTATGCAGAAAATTCAACAAAAAAAAGAAAATCTTCATTACTTTTTAACCATACCCAAGTTTCATTATTCACTCTTTGTTTTAAGCTAGGAATTATAAAGCGAAAGATAAAAAGAAATCTTCCTCATTTCAAGTTTTTAACCATCTCAAATTTCATCATTCACTTTTTGTTTTAAGCTCGAAATTATAAGGCGCATATTCATCATATCAACATAAGGAAATTTGGCCAAATTGTAAATTAAGCATCTATAAGCTTCAAAGTAATTTATATTTTCCCATATTTTGATTAAACCTTTCTGCGCTTTTGGCGATTTTTGTTATAATTATTTCTTTAAATAAACTATTCAAAAGATAAGCTTTATTTATTTGATAGTTTATATTATCCGATAAAAAAAATTATACTAAATTATCTGTTATTATCTTTTATTTATCTGTAAATTATGAATTTAACAGAAATTAGAAATTACCAATATTAAAATTACCTTTAAACGGTGGATAGAAAAAAGGAAAAATAATAATAAACAATAAATTAATATTAATAATAAATACTTATTATCATGTGTTGTTATTAACTATTATAATTAATAACAATAATAATAATTGTTGTTATTGTTATTATTAATAATTATTTATTATTTTATTTTTTATTTATTATTAATTATTATTTTGTTTATTGTTAATAATTATTCATTATTAATATTACGGTTATTGTTATCATTATTATTATTTTTTATTATTAATTATTATTATTTATTATTAATATTATGGTTATTATCGTTATTATTATTTATTATTAATAATTGTTACTTATTATTAATTATTATTATTCGTTATTTATTTATTAAAATTTAACTCAAACATTTTTTTGAAATAAATTTAGAAGTTTAAAATTTTCTTTAAAATTTTAAATTTGTTCTTTAGCTTTTTACAATTGTTAGTGTCAGTCACCGGTTTATTTTCAATCGCATTTCAATCTTTCAGGTATTTTTAAAGATAAAAAAGAAAGAAAAAGAGAGAGAGAGAGAGAGAGAGGGGGGACAACGAATTGCATTAAACAATCAATATTTTTCAACATCTATTTTGTTAGCATATTTGCAAAATAGATTTATAAATTATCTCAAAAATTTTTTACGACCTTTTTTTTAAATTGTTAGTTTGAATTATTTACTAATTTAAAAGTTTTCTTTTTTGACCTTTGCACTTTATTTTATAATGCGAAATAGTTGAAATGATAAAGAGGGGAAATGGTGGGGAGGGAGAGGGGAAGGTAATTTTAACTTTTAAATTTTAAATTTTTCAGGGTAAATTTTAGAGTTTAAATTTTGCAGTAAAGTTATTATCTCTCTAAATAAAGTATAAATAAGCAAAAATTATATTATCGGAGAAAGAGATAGAGAGAGAGAGAGAGAGAGAGAGAGAGGTAGAGGATGATTGTGCTATTTCAGAAACATCGAAAGGCTGTTATATCATAAAAGTTTGGCTTTCGATATTTTCAAAATAAATTATTCATTGGAAATATTTTATGCAACATATTAGTTGTTTGAAATTTATACTTCGAAATTGATTTCCATATCATTGTTTTTGTCATGTATGAATTAATTAGCGCTTGCATTAATTTTCAAATTTAACAACTCTAAATAAATTAAATATATTTAACTTGTTGCTTAAATGATATTTTAAAGTTAACATTTATTTTTCGAAAAATTGGTAAATATAAATATGAAAATAATTTATGCAAATGAGGTAAGCAATAATGAATGATAATTTGCAAATAATTATTTTACTTTCTAAGGTAAGAAATAATTGGTGAAAAGTTAGGATGCTATTTTTATCTTTATTTCTATTATTGAAATTTGAAAAAAAATCAATAAATGTTTTATTTAACGAAAATCTTCTACTCTCTTCAATGATAATGATTTATTGGAATTTGAGTATAAGCCGATAAATCTATTATTAACAGTTAATCCATCAAAAGCCTAAGCTATTTCGTAATTTTTCACATATCACATTATTTACTGCCACGCGGAATTCAATTTTAATTTTTTGTAGAAAAAAAGTAATTATTTGTAATTAATTTTACGTAATTTATATTTGTTTTAAATTATGATAAGTTTAATTTCTTACGAATCATTTTCAGGAAATTAAAATGAAAGAAAATAGTCTTTTTTTTTAAGGCTATAAATTAAAATTTTTTTAATGATCTATTTTCAGATGGCGAAATTTATCATAAATTTATGTCTGTAGTAGTGCTGCTATATGGACAGCGGTCAATCTGCAGATTCATGGTGTAGTAGTACCGCTCGAGCATTGGATATTTTCAATCGACGTAGTTCACTTCTTGCTGTCTCACTTGGTGGTTAATATTCTGCATAGATCTATTTCAATTACTAAAATATACATAGTGATATTACTATTTTAATTAAATTCAAAAAATAAATCAAAATACAGTAATACTCTGATACTCTGCTTTAAGTATATTTAAGTAAATACTTAATAATTATCTTAACAAGTAATCCGAATATTTGTGGTTCAGTGATAGGAAAGGAAATAAATATCATTAAATATCATAAATATCATTGTAAAGTAATTAATTCATAATTAATAAAGATTAAACTACGGTGGTTTGTTGGGCTTCTTAATGGTGAAGTGGAAATTACAGAGCAGTTTTATCATCTACAAATAATATGCACTATTCTTCCTCAATTTTACTGACAAATTAACTGCAATTTAATTCAAGAAATTTTATAACTTATTTCGGATAGTTTAAAATATTAGCAAAATTTTACAATACAAATTTATCAATTTTTTTTTAGGAGTTAACAGTGATACAATTACATCGTTATCTACTTGCAATCCGCCAAAACTTACCACACCTGCTTCTAATTCATCCAGTTATCAACATGTTAGTAGTGACAACAATGGTCATAGTGATAATCCAACGATGACATCCTGTAAGTTCATTTCCATCATTAATTGAGAAATTTTTTTTCTTTTCAAAAACTTTTTATTATTATCAAAATGTAATCGTTTAGCTATAGTCTCGGGATTCCGATATACGAAAGTTCGATTAAATCGATCATCAGAATCTCACAGATGTTCACATTCGTGAGCACTAACTCTAATTCTTAGATTTAGTTTCATGAATGCTTGCAGATATCTAATGACTTTTAATTCTTGGAATTAGTTTCACTGATGTTTGAAGATATTCAATGGCCTCTAGATATCCAGTAACTTAAGCATATGCCTTTGTTTGATCTGATTTTAATTTTCAACAAACCACTGCAAGGTTTTATAGGTTCTGCACATAGTCTTGCAACAACATCAGCATTAACGTCTCCCGAATCTAGTCAGACTAATGCATCTTGGTCACAGTTTGATTTCCATACTGCTTATGATTCCGATTGCAACTCACAGGTTGCTCCCGAGCGTGCTAGGTACTTATTTTTTTTAATCTATTGTTGACACTCATGCATATTCTAAAATCTTGTGGCGACTTTGTTCAATGAGATTTATGAGTGCCAATTTTTTAGAACTTCTTTAATGAATATAAATACGAATAAATAGCAGTTAAAAAAATATTGAATTATCTACAGATTATTTTTTTTGGGAAAGCTTTTTAAAAATTTAAATCTCGAGAGAGCTATCACTTTCGTAAAAATTTCATCAAATTGTAGCGAATGGCGACCATGCTATCCACGTCTATGTGCTTATCATGATTGTGTAAGCCTAGCATCGGCCTGGGGACTTGGTCCACCAACAACATCCCTCGAGCCTCGTCCAACTGGAGCATCTCAGGCTCAGAGTCCCTGTGAAGATGATATGGGTGATGGTAAATCTAATGATTTATTGGCAAATTGTCCGGCTTTCAGGTAATTTCATCTTTCTTATAATTGGAAAAAAAGTGAAATAAATTGAAGCGTGCAGCAATTTTGTCAATGTCAAGATTTTTCGCTTTTCCAAATTAAGATTATTTTAATAGTTTTTTTCAATTTTCTAGAAATGAATTAGGTGGTGAACCAATTCGTCGGTTGGCTCTTTCTCGTCGTTTCAATGCTATTTCAACTGATGAATTGAGAAATCGAAATGAAACTTGGCAGCGGGAGCATACAGCATCCGAAATCGGTATTCTGGAAGATGTTAGCAATGTTTACCTTGGTGGCAGGTAATAATACTTTTATTCATTACCGTCCTAACCTAATCTACATGTTAAAGTTGTTGACTTTAAAGCTTTGAAACGATCCAATCCTTTTCGTTTTAATGTGAGCTGAAATGCTAAATACCTTTCTTTGAAAGAGCATTTTGACCTTTAGGTATTAAGAAAGAAAAATGTCATATCCATTTACGATAACAAAGAATTGACATAATAGGATTTGAAGAATGAAAATGAATCGGCAATAAATTAAGGAATAAATGGATAAATAATAAAATGTGTAAAGGCTATATCGTATTTTTTTTTGAAAGGAAATATATTGAATGGAACGATAATAGTCTTTTGCATTATTATTCGGTTAAAAATCTATTAATTAATTAAATTAAGAAGGAATTAGTCTTTTACAACATGTGTAAAAGATTAATTTGATGTTGGAAGTTTGTTGGTTTCGGAAAGATTTTGGGATGTTGGAAGTTCCGAAAATTTTGCTTAATTAAACATAGGCATAAAATAGATTTATAAAAGATGATGTTGAAGTAAAATGAAAGCTGTCATGTATTGAACAATATTAAAAAATGACTTTTATTTGAAGTCTCCATAAAAATTTTAAAAAATCAGAAAGTGAAGGAAAGTAATTTGTATTCTTTCTGAAATTAAAAGAAGAAACAAATAGCAAGACTGATTATTTGAATAGATGAAAATTGAGCGGATACAACAAAATTAATTCGTTGCAAATGCAAATTTAGCTACTAACATTAAGATTTTTTTATAGGAAATTAAAAAAGTACATTATTGCAAAATTTCGTTCTCGTTTTTTTCTCCTTTAAATTCTTATTTAATTTTATAAATTCGCATTAAATTATAAAATGCTTTTTTTCAGGTTGTGCGCAGCACGTCAACAAAAAGTTGTCATTGAACCTCAGGATATTGGAGCTTATTATTATCGGCATTGTTTTCTTGGACGTCGTAAATTTTCTTTGCTTCTTCAATTTAGATAAACTTTGCATTTATTTGTCGAAAGAAAACATTTCAATTTAGATTTTAGTTTTCGACAATTTCAAATTTTCTTATAATTTGAATAAATTCTTCATAAATTTGAAAATATCAAATTTCAGCTCATTGGAATTTTTTTGGTACCGATGAAACTTATGGTCCAATTGCTGTTTCCGTAGTTCGTGAACATATTGAAAGTGATATCCAAAATGTTACCCTTTATCGGATGATTATCCGGCTCAGTGATGTATTTGTTTTCTTAAAATTTATCGAACTCATTATAATGATTCATTAGCAGAAACTCACGCAAGTGCTGTTCCAGTTTAAAAATAGCAAAATTGATTGCCTAAATACGTTGATCTTACTTAATGATGTTTTGAAATAATAAGTATATGTCATAGAATTGAGTCTTTTAATCACATTGTTTAATCATATTTTGGTTATTGGCAGTAGGTGTAGAATTATTTAAGCTTTGTACACTACGAGTTGCAATACCGGAAGAAGTTATTTCGGAAAACAATGCCGATCAGAAAAATGTTCGATCATTGATAAAAGAATTATTGGAAATTGCTTGTCCACAAATAAACGTCGGAATTCTTCGTCCAGTTAATCCATCATTTACACGAGTGGAAGATTTACTTGTCAAAATTGATGAACAGGCTTGTTTAACAAATTTCTTCTGTTTCAAAATATAAATCTTGTTCTTTTTGGAAAAGATCATTTCGAAAGAATAGAAATGATTTTTTTTAATTCAAATGAGTTAGAAAATGCTAACTTTGCTACAAAAATTTAATTGTTTTTTAATTATCTCGAAATGACAAACGATTTTTTGATTTGATTTTCTAATCAAAGAATTGTATTGTGTAATTTTAGCCAATTTATACTCGATATAAAGTTGGCGTAATGTATTGCGGCGTTAATCAATTCACTGAAGAGCAAATGTATAATAACGGTATCTTCTCTTACCTAACGCTGTATAATTTCAAATCAAAATTAATTTAATTTACATGTATATATATATATATATATATATTTCTGGTTTATTGTATAGTGCTTTAAAATTTTTTTATTTTGTAGTTATTTAGGATTTTGAAAAAATTTTTTTAAATATTTCAAAAACCTAACTAAATGAATTAATTTACCAATTTGCACATCTATTCATTATTATTTTGAAGATTTTTAGAGTTTAATCTAATCATAAATGGTCCAATCATAAATTGTTAATACGATTTTCTGTACTGAATCTTTGCTAAAATTAAATTTAATTGCAGAAAATGGATCTCCTGCTTTCGAGGAATTTTTAGATTTTCTTGGGCAACGCGTACGATTGAAAGGTTTTGATCAATATAAGGGTGGCCTTGACGTACGTGATGATACAACGGGTACACATTCGATATACGTCAAATATCAGGCACATGAAATAATGTTCCATATATCAACACTTCTTCCTTTTACTCTAAGTAACAAGCAACAGGTGATCATTATGCTTTTATACCACAAACTAACAGCTTAGTCATTGGTTTATTTCACATAAATGATCAATTCCATCAATGATCATTTTTGATATCATTTGTTAAATTCTCTATCAATTTTTATTTAATTCTTTCAGCTAGCTCGAAAAAGGCATATTGGTAATGATATGGTTACTGTAATCTTCCAAGAGCCTGGTGCTCTTCCTTTCAGTCCAATTACTGTTCGTTCACATTTCCAGCATGTTTTCATTATTGTAAGAGCTAATAATCCATGCACTGATGATGTGACTTACAGGTATGAACTATTTCGATTCTTTTGGATTTTATTTATAGAAGCGCATTAATCTCTTCTCATTGGGCATTTATGAATCAGTTGTAGATTGAAATGAAATTATGAATATAAATTGCTAACAAATGTATCGTATCGTTATACATAATTTTTGCAGTGTTGCTGTATCGCGAGCTAAGGATGTTCCAGCATTTGGACCTGCTATACCTCAAGGAGCAACATTTCCGAAATCCTCTGAATTTCATGATTTTTTCATTACAAAAAGTAAGTATAGCATAGCATAGCATACAGTAGAAATTTAATTTCAGAAATTTAATTTTCATTTTTAATTCAAGAGCATTCGTTATGCTTGACCCTTTTTTCGAGAAGATATTAATTGTTTCGAAAGTGACCAGTTGGATAGGAAGGCTTGCTAGCCTTAACTAAAAAAATATAAATACAAAAAAAGAAAATTGACGCAGTACCTTACCTTTTTTTAGTAATAAATGCTGAAAATGCGGTGCATCGCTCAAAAAAATTCGCAGCAATGGCAGCACGCACACGCCGCGAAGCATTGAAAGAAGTCGCAGAAAATTTTGCTTCAGGTCATCCAAATGATGGACCTGCAAGAATTGCAAGTAAGTTTACTTCTTTTCATAAATATTATTGTAAAAGAAATACAAATTATTTTTTTCTACTAAGTTAAAATTTATGATTATTTTAGGTCGATTTTTGGTTGGATCAGTGAAACGAAAAGAGCGCTTATTACCACGGCCAATTTTAAGTGAATCATTACATGGAGCACTTTCATGGCTTGTTGAAGTTTATGATTATTCACAAAATCAATCGATCACATGTGTCCTTGGTGTATCCGGTGAAACTTTGGTTATTTTGGAGATGCCAAGCGGTGAAGTTATTTGTGCAATACCCACACATTCTGTTATTGGTTGGGCCACTACTGATTCAGGGTATGTTCTAATTTTTTTTTGCTTTTTCTGCTTATAGGCCATTTTGCTTTTCTCAACATATTATACTTAAAAAACATGTATCTTTTAATCTGAGTTCTTTTTTATCAAGTTTATTTCATATTTTAATTGATTTTATTCTTCATTATTTTGATTATATGACTTTTATTTATATTCCTTATTATAATTGAATAATTTATTTTCATTGTTTTGAAACGTACCTGAAAACTGACTATTTGTGAAAAATAAAAATTGTGGTATATACTATTTTTCAAAAAATAAAACATGATTCTTTTTTTAGATTGAAAATTTATTTTGACCATGGCGATATGCTACATTTGAGGTGTTGTACAGCTGATAACAGTGATCGGGAATTAACTTCATTGATACGACGTTTGGAGTGTGTTACGAAAGGTAGTGAGAAAAAATTTTATAATAATTTTAGAAGCTTCTGATTGAAATTTGTTTGATTCAAAGAAATTAATAAACTCTTTTAATAAACTAATAAACTCTTTTTGATCTATTCTTTTCTTTTAAAAAATTATTGTTTCTCTCTCTTTACTTCTTTACTCTTCCTTTTATTCTCCTTCTTTTTAGTTCTCCTTCTAGTTCTCCTTCTTTTTTCCAATAAGATACATCCGAAATATCTGAAATTTTTTCTTAGTTTAAGAAATGATAGTTTGATGTCCTACATGATATCTTATGTGATATCGTCTACAACAACTTGAGAAATGACAGTCTAAGTCTTACATGATACCTTCCATAATTGATTGTTGAAGGTGATGAAGCTAAGGAAGTGCTACATCGACGTGCACGTGTTTCCGATAGCTTGGACTTTCATCTGCAAGAAGAAGGTGTTGTTACCGATGTGGAAATGTATCATACAGCATGGCGTTCTGGCCTTCGACAAGGATCACGTATTGTTGAGGTTAAATGATTTTAAATTTTGATTAAGATTTAAAGCAATTGCTAAAAATTAAAATAATAAGTCATTTGCTTTTGTAGTAGATATTAAATAATTACGCTGAGAAATTTGTAATACATTTATGAAGCCTTGAAATTTACAGATTGAAGGTAAACCAATTGTTACAATGAATTACAATGAAATATGTGGCCTGATGGCGCATCGTACCTCACTTCGATTGATTATGATTTCACCAGCATCCGATGGTTCACCTCGTAGAGGTTGTGCTGATCCGCATTGTCCCGCCGTAAGCGGTGATGAGCAATTGTTACTTATGTCTGATTCATTCGCAAAACGAAATATGTGGTAAAATTTTGGCTCTTTTTGAAATTATTGTATTCTGTGAATTTAATATTATTTACGGTAGTTGCAAGACTTTACTAATCATAAATTTATCATGAAGAATTTAATTCATAGTTTAATTCATAATTTAATTCCTACTTCTTTGCTCTATCCAGAATTTATTTTTTCTAGGTACTGAATCCTTTATGCTAAATCTCTTTCGAAATTAACAGCCATGGCAATTTATTAATGGATAGTATAAATTAGGGAACTAAAATATTAAAAATTTTGGAAGAATATATCAGCTGAACTATATTAATAATTAATAAATTTAAATAAATTTTCCCTTATAATTTATTTTTCAGCTTTTTCAATAGTTTTACAAATAAACAACTTCGTACGCTCAATCATTTGGATAAAAATAGAAAGCAATCAATTAGTTTCGAAGATGAATCATTCGTAAAGAATAGACATAATGCTGTAAGTATTTTAGCAGTTTACTGTTGAAATATGTATTTTAATTATTAATCTTTGTTTACGCTAAATCATTTTATGCTAATTTAAAATTACTTTGTTTCATTTTCGAAATTGAGAATGTGAAAGGATATTTCTAAATTGTTAGTGATTAATGAGAATAAATCGGTTGTCATAAAATAGAAACTTATTGAAATTATCGTGCAACTAAGTTTATATTGTTTAAATTTCTTTTGAAAATATATTCTTTTGGTCATAGATTTTGAACTTAAATATCCATTCTTTTCCAATCTTCCTTTTTAACTTTGAAATGGGAAATTAATTTCTGCATTTTTTAGACAGTTTGGGATTAATTCTGATTTCAATTATTCGTTTAATTTTCTGATGGTTAATGTATTTATTTTAAAATGGTTTTTTTATAGATCAAAGATTTTGCACGTTATGGAAGACTTAATTATGTACACTTTGAAAGACCTGCAGGAATTGAGTATGTTTTTACGAAAATTTGTCACTTAAGAGAATAAATTTTTAGAATATGTGAAGAATTAAACTGAATTTATGTTTTAAATTCTAAAAAAAAGCGATCTTCAAGAGATCAAACCAACAGAAAAGACTGTTGAATTTTTACGGCAAAAGATTATAAGAAGTGGAGCTCACCACTTTCATATCTGTGGCAGATTTGTTAAACAAATTTTTTTGCATACCCAATACACATATTACATTTCAGGCCTGTTCAATGGAAAACATTGAATAACTGTTTGTATGAATCTACTTATAAAGTACAGGTAGCTTATATTAGATAATGAATTTTTGATAATGAATTTCGATGATTTTTAGTAAAAATAATTATTAATTATTCAACTATTTGTTAAAGTATTTTGGTTTTTTGATGAAATTTGCATTCAATCCTCTTCAAAGCAATTTTAATTTTAATAAATTTGTCGAGGTATAATTTAAAAAGGAAAAAGAAAGAAAATCTAAGAGGATTTTTTAAAAATTATTTACCGCAGATGAAAAATGATTCTTGCAAATTAGCTTATTTTTCTACCCAAAATTAATATGATAGCAATACTGTCAAGTGAGTTATTTTTTAAGAAATAAATAAGAGTGACTGAATCATAATTTATTTCAGGGCCGAATATTGCGCGTCCGCTCTGAAGATTCATTAGTTTCATCCACAGAAAACTGCTACAATACCTTTTCCGTAAAACTTTTTTATGGAACTCTCTAATAGCGATGATTTTTATTGAAGACTTATATTTTGATAAACTTATGTTATCAAAGACTAATATCTTTATTTTAATCCTCAAATTATTAAAGACTATTTTGATAAGTCTAACTTGAATAGAGAAATTTGCGATACATTTCCGATCTCTAGTGATATATTATTCCATGGAAAATATTACTCTGTTTCGTTCTTTTCCTTTTCCTTCTAAAAAATGTTTTTAGTCTTCAAGATTTCTTGATCGGAAGAGTAAATTTATTTTTTTTCTTGATCGGAAGAGTAAAAAAACCTTGCTAAATCGATAGTTATTGAAAAATTAAAAACCATATTTTGCATGATGAGAAGTTTGAAGACTATTAATGGCGCGTTTTATTTAATATTTAACGATGAAGCATAAAGAGAATTATATCATATTTGAATTAGATTGAGATGAAATAAAAATTCATTATTGATTTAAAAATTCGTTTTATTTTTGAATTTCAGCAATCGAAAAGCGATACTTGCAATCGTAATCTTATACCGAAAGTAAAGGAATCTGGGAAGTTAGTTGCAACTAATAATGTTGAATTGGAAAAGAGTAAAATGCAATTGCAAAAAACATTGCGAGAAAAGCAAGCTTTAGAAGCTATGATTTCACGTTTGAAAGAGGAACTCACAAAAGTAAGTTGATAATTTTTATCTGATTAATTTGGCATAATTTAATCCATGATATTTTCTGCATTAAGTAAAGTTAATGCATGTCATGCCTAATCAATGGTCATTTAATGATGAATGATCGAAGTTAGACTTGTTGCTGTGACGTTTAAATAGGAATGATTGATCAAGATTTTGTAAATCATCTTACTGTAGTTTGGAAAATAGAGGAATTGCTTTCAAGCAGAATTATTTTACATTCAATTAAAAAGTTTTCCCTAGTAATTCGGCTGGAAAAAATGCTTGTAATTTATAGGAACGACGTGCCCATGAAATGACAAAACTTGAATTGCAAAAATTGCAAAAGTATTTTGAAATGATACCAAATGTGTCGCTGTAATTCGTCCGTCAATAAGATGTAATAAATGTAGCGATATGACAAATACGTGATATACTCTTATCATTATGCTCGTATTTATCATCTACGCATGATTTTCTTTGTTTAAACCTCCCTTTTTTTCTTCTTCCTTAAAATTTTTTCAACAAAGAAATTTGTAACATCTTTATGTTAATTTAATTTTAAACCTAATGTTAACATTAAAATCATTTAATCGCTAAATTTTAAAATTTAAATTTTTGAAATAGATAAAATTAATTTTTTCTACTGTCATAATAGCACATTTTTAAAAACTCTAAGTTATTAGTTTCTCTAATTTATAATTCTTCATCTATATCTGTGCCATCTTTTTTGTTCAATGATCCCATCGCAATCTATTATTTTGTCATCATTTGATTAATTATTATTTTTGAATATCTCTGAATTCTATTTTATGTTTGTTACGATGTTTCTTTTTAATGTTCGTTTTGTAAAATAAATATGTATTTATTACTAGAATTTTACTTTTCTCTTTTTTTCTCTTCTTTCTCATTCTTTTTATTATATGTAAATGAAGTTTTTTTAATTCAATTTAATAATTAATGTGTGGCAATTTTCATAAATTATTTCTTCAAGCCATTTCTCAATTTATTGTAATTTCATCAATCATTTTGTCGCAGTTTCAATAAATTGATTGATAGTTAAATTCTTCCATACAAAATCGAATCAACTAATTGAAAGAAATATGCATTTCTGGGAAGTTTTACTATCAAGCGTTTTTTCATCTGATACAAACTGAACAGAAATATCAGTGAAAATTTGATTAATAGACAATTGGACAGCTGCTAACAGCGTAAGTTATCATTTGTTATTTCAACAGTTAGCGTCATCTTAACAGGTCGGACATTTTTGTTGATCAATTTATTTTGCAAAGATATTAGTATGTTAAAATTAAAGCATCCATTCTACTATCTTTTGCATGTATGAAATTGTGAACCATTTCAACCATAGTGTCTTTCGTAGCATAAAATATGATAATTTGAAATGAGCCTTATTTTTAGGCACTCTTTCTTACTATGATTAATAGCATAGCTAACATTTATTTCAATTCTACCGTTGTGTAATTTTGTTATACTGAAAAAAAATTTTTAGTTGAGAAAAAAGTTGCATATTTGTTTATCATTAATTACAGCTAATAATTGAGGGATAGGATTTAAATTTGAATTCGATTAAATCTTAGCTTTTCAAAACGATAAATGAAAATTGGTGTTTTACATCTCTACTCTCTTCAGTTATTTTGCTAAGTGATATTATGTAAGATAAGATAATAAGAAATAGTTGCGGAAAGCATTAATTACATACTAAATACCACTCTTTCAGGTAGTAATATATAGTATTAATTATTTTTTTGTTAATGAATTATTTAATTGAAAACATGAAGCTCTCGATATGGTATGAATTGATGTTTTAATATATTTTAACTTCTAACTTAATAGCTGTTAACAAATAATTCATCTACAATTTCCCACCATAAAATCAGATAAACGAATTAATTATTTCATCTTATTCGGAAATAAGTTCCGGCTTAGTGTTGTATATCATCATATTCATTTAAATGAAATTCGAAATCATGTCATTCGCAAATTTTAGCTAATTTATGAAAATTTTTAATTTTAAACTAGTAAGTGTTAAATCTTCACATTCATATCCATTTGTTATTACATTGTTGTATTCCGTAAAATCTTTTTGTAAAAATCTTTTCCACATCGGTAAGATTATTTCATTCGTAATATACTTCACATAATAATTCACTTCAACTGATGTTTTCATTGAATATTTTCTTTTCACTAATTTTTCTACTCAATTCAATCAGCTGTGCAATAATCGAGAATTGGAGACCACAACAATGTTGCCAGTAAGTATTATCAATAATAATATTGATAAGTATTATCAGTAAGTATTATCAATAATAAGTAAGTATTATCAATATTAATAAAGGTGCGTTAAAAAATAAAATATTTGCAATGGATAAAATTTTTCGTAAAAATTTTGAATTAACTATCACTACCAAATTATTTCAATTTTTTCACAATTTCATAATATTTTAATAACCTTTTTCTACCTTATATTTTAATGAGTAATTTACTAAACTTTTTGAAACTTTTCCGCAAAATATCTATATGTATGTTTAGATATCAAATGCACTTATAATATCTATATGCATGATTAGATATCAAATGCGCAATAACAGTACAAGCGCATTTGATGATTGATAACTCAAAAAATTCAGATACTGATAAAATGAATAGTATCCTGTAGGAGAAAATGCTCATTTAGAATGATAAATATTTCAACTAAAAGAAAGGATATCTTTGTAAATTAAAGTTTTTTTGATAAAATTTTTATAATCATAATTGATATGAATTTTGATAGTAAAATTTTAATTTTAAGATGAAATAACCATTTGAAATGGTCGAACGATAAAAATGATAATATTACGACAATAATATTTGCATAAAAGAAAGGATTAATCTTTTGTAAAAGATTATTTCATCATTTTAATATTTAATATTTTATCATCTTCATTATAAAAGTTTTCATGGATTTCAGATTTATGTGCTGTACATGTAAAAATATGTTCGATCCAAGTGAAAATAATTTCAACACATTGACTGGCAGTAAAATTGAAGAAGTTGAAAGCACTACGATATCATCGTCATTTCATAAGAATTCATATTTTCAAAATATCCCAACACTTCAAACACCATCCAACAATTCGCGAGCATTAACCAATGATGATCAGTTTGCAGCCGGTATAAATGATGCTTTGGTACCAATGTTATCGAATGATGGAAAAGTTAATATCGATGAAACTAATTATCCAATAAATTTTAAGGAATCATCATTACCAGCACCAATTAATCAATATGCTATTGATCGATTCGTCAAGGAAAATTATTTGCAGAAACCTATTTTTGAGCAGCGAACTAATGAATTGGATACGATTGGTGAATTTTCAACAATATCAATTCCTTATACTACTACATCAAATTTTGATTACGATGATAGCAGAAATTATCTCTCTACCAATAAAATTAATAAGAAGAATACAGGTAAAGTTAATATCTCAGCTAAATGTGGTAAATTATGCGATGAACGATCATATTATTCATCTAAATTTTCTGGAATGCAAACTGAAACAAAATTACCGGTGGATTATGATGAATTCGGAAAATCCGAACAAGAGAGTAAGAAAGACTACTACGATGAAGTCGTGGATGAACGCAATACTCCTATTGCTTTTTCACCGTATTCAAGATTGAAAAGGCGAATGAACGCTTTTACTGATATCAATCGGGAGAAATTTTGTCAATTTTGCGACAATAGTAATATCAAGAAGACAAAATTATTGAAGCACAATGCTCCGAATGAAATGACATATATTGCGGCAAAAAGTAATCATCAAAAAGCATTAGCTAATATTTTAAAATCAAAAATTGATTTTCATGTTGCCGCTAATAATACTTTCAACCAAGTAAAGAATGCTAACAATAATAATCATGGGAGAAATTTCTTCATTTCGGATAAAAATCAAAATATACAGAATTTAACGATGCGACAACATCCAGAATATCCCAAAATGATTGATTCATTGGAGGAATTTAGATTTCGATCACCAAATCACACTTTACTTCGATTAGATTCAATGATCAAAGAGCCGAAAGATACGATGCACGAATCGTTGCTTAAATTCAACAAACAACCAAATAATAAAAATGAGAATTTTTTGATAAAATCATTTAAACTAATTAGAGTGGAAGGGATAAAAAATAGAAATACAAATGAGGATATTTTGCGCGAAGATGATTCATACAAAATGCAAAATTTAACAATGAAAATATCTGATAAGGAATTGATAAGGAATATTTCGGCTCAAATTGATAATGATTTATCAGGAACAAATAATTTACAATTTTTGAGGGATCATAAGAAGCCGAAGCAGAAGAAGTCTATCAATGATTTTTTTTATCATATACAAAAACCTGAAAGTGATGATATACGGAATAAATTTCGCAACAATTTGGTATTCGAAATGCAACGTGATATTTGGCCAAGTATCATCACTAATATAACTGAAAAACAAAAGAAATTAACGGAACTTCCTTCTTTATTAATTACACCAAATCCAATTATCGGTAATACATCGCTTAATTCATCTATTTTACAACAAATTTTGATAAAAAAGATTAAAACAAAACGACCAATTCAAACAAGGAAAGCAAAAGTTTTTGATTTTTGAAGTTTTGTAATTTTATTAATTACAGGTAAAATATCTTTTTCGAATTTGATTTTAAAACTTTTCAAAAAATGCACTATTGCAATTGTTGAAAAAATTTCATGATCGGATTATCATAATTATACACTTATTATTTCTTTATCATAATTATCATGATTATATACTTATTTATCTTGTATACAGATTATGCACTTATTAATTCTGTTATAATTTGTGTGTTTTTTACTTAGAAATTGTTATTATCAATAAAACGATCTCTTCTTGAAATTGTATGCAATTTTTTTTCGAAATATATTTCTTAATAAACATTGTTTATTTTTTTTGTTGTAAACAAACATTTTCAATATGTATTCTGTATTGTATAAATATACTGTAAATGACTTTAATTGATGTTTCTAATTGTATAATTGATGAAATTAAATTTAATAATAAATGATAATATAAACTGTGATTTGAGGTGAAGAAAGAAAGTAAGGTAAAAGTGGAAGGTAAAATAATAGTACAAGTTACTTCTTTAAGATTTGTTGTATAATTTGGAAAGAGTTGCGAATAAATTTCAGCTAAAATAATTTAATCGTTTTATTCGAAACTTATTGAATGAGAGGATACTGTAGCATTAATTTAATTAATTAGACGAAATGATTGTTTATAAGAATTGTGAAATTTATTTTTTTTGAAGTGAAGAAAAATGTGAGATAAAAGTGGAAGGTAAAATGGAAGTAAAAGTTACTTCCATGAGATTTGTAATATAATTTAGAAGGAGTTGCGAATAAATTTCAACTAAAACAATTCATTCTTATTTTTTTTGAAACTTATTAAATGAAAGAATACTGTAGCATTAATTTAATTAAATAGACGGAATGAAATAATTGTAAGGTAAGAGGAATAGATTGAGAAAATGAGCGCATAATGGAGTAAAATATTTTTTTGAATTTTGCATAATTGCGCACATTTCACTTCTCAATGTTAATTAGTAAAATCGTTCATTAAAATATTGTTCTTTTATCTTTCATTTTCTTTTAATTTTTTCTCATAATTTGTAAGTGTTCAGTAAGTCGATGAAAAATATTTATTTCAATTTCATATCAAGCAATTATAAAATATGCAATGGTTTTTGAAAAATATAAAAATAAGATAATTAAAGCGAAAAAGAAGGAAGGAACGAAGAGCAAGAAGGGGAAAACAGAAAACGGGCAGCGGAAAACCGAAAACGGGAAACGGAAAATCGAAAATTGGGAGTGGGAAAAAAATCAAAGAGATAATATTAAACAAGAACGAAAATATTGCATTTTATTAGATCACTGTAATATCTTCAAAAAAGCCAATAATCATCATCGACATGGTAGTGATGATATATTATATTTGCTAGGAGCAATTTGAAAAATTCTTCATTTACCGCAGCCACCACAGCAGCAACACCTGTAATATAATATACACCTGTAATATAATACTTGATTATAGATTATAGTTTTTATTATATCACACAAATATATCCTATTGGTTTTATATCAATATCCCTTTTTTCCATCCTTTCAAGTANACCATTCAAATAGCTCTATTTCCTATCCTTCCAATTATCATCAGTAAAGTAACAAAAGTTTCGTTGTATAATAGCGGAAGATAATGAATGATTAATTGAAAACTTAATAAATGCTAATATTTGATTGAAATTATCAAAATAGTATAATGATAACAGCTAAATGATAACTATTGTTTTCGGTGATGTGTAAAAAACTATTGAAAATTAAAAAAATTAATAAACAAAACATACCCGCAGCCAAAAAATATTGCATGAGTATTTATAATTATAAAAATTAGCAGGAGAAGTATATATCGAACATCGATAATAACAGATAGCATTACCAATGATGATTTTTGATGACAAATGAATTATATGAATTTTCGGCGCTTTATTTTTGTTGACAAATGATTGATATGAATATTCTGAAGTTTATTTAAAGTGAATTCATTTAATAGATGTTATTCTATAAATCCCACCCTAAAAATTCATTTAAATAATTATAGCTAATATTTTGAAATATTCATTTTAGGTAAATTGAAAAATCAATTTTTTCATTTATTTATAATTTTCGGAAAATTGTTAATTTTCATTTATTTGTTATATAATTCTTTTATCACAAATATTTTGATAAATAGGAAGAATATTTTAATAAATGAACATTTGTATATTTTAATAAATGAACATTTGCATAATAAATTTTATCTGTGCACTATAATATATGTGTACGTGTTTTCTGTACAATCTCAAATATAAAATTTAACTAATATGCAAATTTGTAATTCGTTTGATCAATTATTAACAATAATATTATAATTAATATAAATTAATCATATAAGAATTTAAATTTTAATATAAAGAAATACAGAGAGAGAGAGAGAAAGAGATAATGTTTTTACATAATAAAATATTATATTTCATATTTCAATGGCAATCATTTTTTTTTATTTCAATCTCATAAATTAATAAATGAATTAAATTGTTTAAAAATATTTCAAAAATTATTCCTATTCTCCTTCTCTCTCTCTCCCTCTCTCCCTCTCTCTCTCTTTCTTCCCACTTCTATTGATGGGAGAGTAAATATGGCGGAACTTCTTCATTTGTGATTAGCGAATAACTATCCGAATTTTAGATGATATCAAAATTCTTATCTGAATTTCATTGAAAAGAATGCACTCAGCGGAAATTATCTCTTCTGTTAAACTAATAGCTACTATGAATATATAAAATTATATATTATATATATAAAAAGGAATATATAAAGTTGCATGAAAGAATATTTAACAAAATTAAGGAAAAACGCGAAATCGACAAGCGGCCATCACAACGGATTATTTTTAGCAAAAGAGGAAAATCAAAATTTAATTACAGTAATCTTTGATTCGTAAGATGTAATCTTAATAATTGAAGAATTCTTCAATGTTGAAAATAAAATATTGAAAATTTTAATTAATAATGTATGATGAAATTTCATCGACTTGCAAATTTTTTAAACTTAACATTCATCAAAATGCTCACGTGGGAAATTCAACAATGTTGTATAATTTTTACATTTACAATTGTTTTACTTCAATCCTATAATTAAATTACAGTAAAAAAAATCTCAGATCTATGCTCAATTTTTTCAACTTTTTTTTGCATTTTTTTCACTTGAAATTTTTATTTAGAACAACAATGTTAAGCGATTGTTATCATACATAAATCTAAAGATGAATTATTTGTAAAAGCTTAGCTAATGATAAGCAGTGATTATTGATTTAACTATGAACTTAAAGACGTGGATGAGTTGACACATGTAAAAGCTTAACCAATCATTTATCAGTTGATAAAACTTTTTTCATCAATTATCTATTTTTTTCCTCGAACGTATCATCAGAAAAAAAGGAATTGGGAAATGGTAATTCTTTTATGAGCACTAAATTTTATGTATTAATTTTAGAAAAACCAGAAAGAAGAGATATCGGATATAGCAATCAGTAAATCAAATTCCTAATAGATAATTCATTTCTCATATCCTATTTTAGTATCTGAAATTGTTCATCATACAATTATGAAAGTGTTTATATTAATTAGCTAATTAAATTCAGCAAAATATCAAATTATAAAATTGAGATAGGAAAGTGAAATTTTCAAGAAATATTGCAATCTGAATAAATGACCTCATTTCAATTTCATTTTATTAGCTGTCATTTGAAATAATAATAATAGAAAATGAGTACATTTTATGAAGATAATATAAAATGAATCAAAAGAAAAGTTTTAATAATACAAAAGATTGAAATTAATTAAATTTAATTTCTTTGTTTGCAACAACTTTTAAATACCTTTTGAAGATATTTTAACTTTTCCCAAATTCAATAAAAAGAGGTCAACGAAAGAGGTAATAATGAAATGAATGTTTATTGTATTCATTGAATTGAAAATGGAATGAATGAATCAGGGATAGATGATGGTAATGATGAATAATAATGTGTATATTAAATTAAAATTAAAATATTCAAATTTGAATTGCTTAAAATTTATTTTAAATGCTTAGAATGCATGAAATTATTATCATTACTATCATTATCAGTTATTCTATCATTATTCTATCATTCTATCATTAATTATTACCATTATTATAATTAATATCAATTTATTATTATCAATTATCATTATCAGTTAAAAAATTATTGTAATAATTTTTTTTAAGCAATTCAAATTTAAATATTTTAAATATTTTTTGCTTTCGATATCTTAAAACAAATTTTGCTATTTTGCAAAAGATGAAAAATTAAATTATTGAAGGAAAAGTAATCGAAGATGAATAATTAATTGGAAGCAATTTTAGTGCACAATTTTCTAAATTCATTTTATATTGTTTGAAATTAAAATTGCAGAGTTTAAATTTTAAAAAAAGGTTGAAACCTGAAATAGACTTCAAATTTGACGAAATTTCGAAAGCTCTAATAAATTCTGATAATCTGATAACATTTTGAAATTATTTTGATAAGATTTTTTTTTCACAATAATTATCAACATTTGCATTGTCGATATCAGAAGTGATTTTTTCTATATTCTTCTATTATAAAATTCCTTCTCGTTTTTGAATTTCAATATTGGTCATTTCTATTACTACAAGACATTTTATCCCATTCAAAAATCCCGGTTATTCCTGGTATTTCTTGAAAGCACCAATTTTCACTTATTATCCCGATCCATTATTCTTTCTAATTTTGAAAATTTTGCAAAAATTAAAAATTATAACGATTAGATTTCTATATTATAAAAAGTACCAATAAATAATGATATCATGCAACTTTCTCATCTTATTTTGAAACATATTTCTGCAAATGGAATTGTTATCTCTTATCTCTAAGATAATTATCTCTTATCTTTAAGTAATTTTTTAATTACTGAAGTCCCAAATAGCCCTCCCATTGAATTCAATTACTGAAATTTTTTAATTGTTAGATCTTATTTTTATTTCAAAATTAGAAATGTGTATTTTATATATGCGATAGAAAAAAATAGTGGATAGAAAACAAATGAAAATTATTGAAATGATAAAATTTAAATTCAGGATAGATACTTCTGCTTTAACTCTAACAATTGTTACAGCCATAAAATAAATAGCTTTATTTATTTGGAGATAACACATCACTATATTTCAATTGACAAAGTATAATATATAATTGAAATTAGAAATTTGAAGAAATATTCAGGACATATATAATTCAGAATTATGTACAGGTGTATTACGTAAATCCTTAATGTTCTCCTTTGACCTTTATAATAAGTACAGTATACTATTGGGAAGCAGACTTCAATTTGTTTCTTTTTTCTTGTTTTCCTGAAAGAACCATTTCTATTTGCTCTTCTAAATGTACAGCGATATATTTTGATTTACCTCTTCGATCTTCGATATGCTTTAATTGATCAGATTCGTTGACTGACCTCTCTATACTACGAAATATATTGAAGTGATCGCTTTACAGTGGGTTTCATAATTAATGTAATTAATGCATATATGCTAATCTGATTGATTATATAATCGATACGAATGTTTTTGGTTTTGAGGATTAAGAAAAGCAAAATCTTCAAAGAGACTTCATTCCCTTTCGATGTTCCTATTTAATCAATCATAAACTATTCTATATCTCGAAAAATATATATTTGTGTATGAAATTACAAAGAATATTTAAATTGAAATTAGCAAATATTCATTTACTTGAATAGTTCAAAGTTCAAATATTTTCAAATTCAAATGTTTCATGTTGAAGTGAAGTGTGAGTGATTTTAACAGTGATTAGTAAAGTCCTGCTTTTCTGTTACTATTATTATTACATTTTCTTTTCCATTGAATGATACATCTCTCATCTCCCAAATATTCCTCTTAGTATTTTAAGTCTGCTCGGTGAATTATGGCCAAATATGGAGAAGTTGTGAATGTTATTAAGATGTTGATCCGTTTCTGTCCGTCCATCCGTTTTACTTATTATTTTTCCGAAATGCAAAAGTTCGATTTCATGGTTTTAAGAATCCGTTTAATTCGTCTCTAAATATGAGATAAGGTTTCCTGAGAATCGAAATGATGATTTTTAAATACAAATTTTGTTAGCTGAACTTTGAAGCTATTTGAAGTCGAATACCTTTGCTATTTTATTATGTGTCATTGTGACAATTTTTTTCGAAACAAAGCTATTATGTTTCTTAGGCCTGTTGAATTCTTGAAATCATAGGCTTAGGCCTGCTGAATGAAATCGTACGCTTAGGCCTGTTCAATTCTTGAAATACAACAGTCTCCAGAAACAAAGCAATTTTACATTTCTCTCTCTTCATTCATACCAATTCATTCAATTTTGAAAAAGAGAAGAAATTCAATTAGACAGAGAGAAAAATGAAAGAGATGACATAGAGAACATAGAAACAATAGTTGTAGTGAATACGAGGTTATGCATACGGTAGCGGTGGATAGGTACAGCAGTTAACTATCTTAACACGATTGTCCGGATAAGCATGTCGTTATACTCGTCTCATACATCCACGTAGTTTGTTTTGCTTTCCGGAAATATAATCAGAATAATATTATCTAGTTATAATTTTTACCGTCGTATATTTCATACAATCAAAATTTTCAATATTTATACTCACAGAATTAGTCATACAATAATTTCACTTCCAATTATTCTCTAATCGATTTTCTTGTTGCCTTGAAAGTAATATTTCCGACATAGAATTTAATTCGAGAATCATTACTAATTTCATCATTTACAGAATCAATTCAAGAATCATTACTTACTTCATCATTTACAGAATCAATTCAAGAATCATCACTAACTTTATCATTTACAGAATTTAATTCAAGAATCATTACTAACTTCACCATTTACATAATCAATTCGCGAATCATTACTAACTTCATCATTTACAGAATCAATTCAAGAATCATTACTTACTTCATCATTTACAGAATCAATTCAAGAATCATCACTAACTTCATCATTTACAAAATCAATTCGCGAATCATTACTTACTTCATCATTTACAGAATCAATTCAAGAATCATCACTAACTTTATCATTTACAGAATTTAATTCAAGAATCATTACTAACTTCACCATTTACATAATCAATTCGCGAATCATTACTAACTTCATCATTTACAGAATTAATTCAAGAATCATTACTAACTTCATCGTTTACAGATTACAGAATAATTTGAAATGAAATTAATTAATGTAAGAAAAAAGGAATTAAATTGATGTGAAAAAAAAATTGAAATAATGTGAAAAATAATTTGGGAAGAAAAAATGAATTGAAATTGTAATGTACAAAAATGATAACATTGCACTGTAAAGCACAAAATTTATTCTTCTTGACAACCTGTTTTCTTTCTTCTACAAAAATAGAATTAAAATGAATTGTTATCAGTTTTGTACATTACAATTTTAATTTTGTTTTTTCTCGCATTTCAAACATTATATAAATGAATTGCTTCTCTCCTCCAATTCAGTTCAGTCAGCGATAAAATTAACAGAATAATTTTCTTTTCTTAATTAATTAATTTTGTTAATACTTAATTGTGGATGAAATGATAGAATTTGTTATGTAACTTTTGTGCAATCATATCCCTGAATTTTATAGCTTATCATTTTTTTGCTTGATAATCAAGCTAATTATTTCTGATTAATAATGATAGACTTTATATGTAACTTTTGAGCAATCATATCCCCGCATTTTACGGCTTATTATTTTTCTTTTGTCTGATAATCAAACTGATTATTTTTGATAAATTTAAGTCTTAAATGAATTTCAAATTGCTCATTAAGCATTTGTAACAATAGATGTCATCTTTTGTAAAAATTTATTATAACAAAATGCGATGAGAGCAAGTTTTCTCTTAATTAATTCTGGTAGAATTATTTACAATTAATAGAATTTCCGTCAATTAAAATAAAACAATTGCATTTCTAATAGTTTTTTAGACGTAAACTTTATTGTAATGTAATATTATCAGTTGCATATTATCAATAATATTTGCAGGAATTTTGGATTATTTATTATGCTGTCATCTCTCATCACTAAATATTTGATTGCTCTAGCAATAGTGTAAGTTAAAGTGATGAATAAATATTTTTGCTATTATCAAATTAGTTATTTAGTTTACTTACCTGTTAATGTTTTTCTACCTTTTCAGAACATTACTATCAATTGCTAAAACCAATGCGCAATTTCGTCTTAATTTTTTATCATACAACAACGTCGCAGGCGACGGAGTGAGTTTTATATTTCTTATAAGTCTAATTTTCTTGTAAGTTTCTCATAAGTTTCTTATAAATTTCACTTATAAGGTAATGCTTAATGTATTGCGTACTGTAGTTTTCTTACTGTAGTACAGCTATGTGGCGTATTATCATTTTAAGATTGTTAACCATTCTAATAAAAGCTTATTTTAAATTTTAGTCATTGAATAATAATTTGAATTTCAGTCGTTGAACAATTTGGCGGCAAGACCCAATGGGCAACAACCTCCTCCTCCTGCTCAAGCACAAGCTCAAACAACATTGAATCCTCTTGGCCCATATTCTTCTGCATTTGGTTTGGGTTTGCTTGCAGGTAGCTTTATTGGAGGCTCTCCATATTCTTATTTTCCTTACAGTGGATACGGAGTATATGGTTCTTATACACCGTATAGTTCTTATACGCCGTATAGTTCTTATACACCGTATAGTTCTTATACACCGTATAGTTCTTATATACCGTATAGTTCTTATATACCGTACAGTTCTTATGTACCGTACAATACATGGACGCATCATTATTATGATCCGTATTATTACTATTATTATCGTGGTTATTATAGTAGTTATTATCGTGGTTAATTGTTGTGTCAATGTATAGCATAGAAAATTCTGAATAATAAATGCAAAGTTTTTTTTTTGATATTGTATTCTACAGTTATTAAATACATGACACACTGAATAAATTTCAAAAATGTATCGAAATACATAAATTATTACCAGGAAAGCCTTCCGCAACTCTAACACAATTTGCGATCCATAAATTACTAATTAATTTATTGATTAAAAGTAAAGAAAAAGCTAAAGAATGGATATATTAGTAATTGATTGTATTAGTGGGAAAATGAATGAATTTATAAACAATTGACCAATTAATTCTTGTTTTAACTGCCTGAATATTTGCATTAGTCTGATTAAACAAGAAAATTTCTTTGAATTATTATATTTGCATGTTTATGGTTCTAAAATGTATTTTATGAAATGCTTCATAAAATTGACATCTGTAGAAGAATGCATAAAATAGGACTTCGAAATAGTGTCCCAATTACAGATGCAACAATATATTATTGTTTATATTCCATTTGACGTAATATGTTGACTTTCGTGTCAATGCCCGTCGTTCCACTTTTTCTAATTTAAATTGATTTAATTGATAGTTAATCAATAAATGATTTCAAAAAATCATTAGAAGGACAGTTGGAGGAATGCACTGGTTGTACTTGATTTTATAAAAATTAATTTTATGCTTATAACAATTATTCAAATTATTTCAGCTCAATTATGGGATGCAATGTAATTTAGTTGAACTACTGAAATTAGTTCACCATATCATGCAATTAATGATTTATAATCTGAATTGATTACATTAACCTTTTGCAAGATGACCTCAGGATTCTAATTTCAACATAAAACAAATTGCTGATCTTATCATGTATCAATCTCAATCATTTAACATTATCTTCTATTTCCGTTACTCCAATTAAAAAATTCATCATTAATTTTAATTTTCTTTGCTCAAATTCAAAAAATTTTCCCACATCATTAAATTCCAAAGTACCATCACAATTACCCTTTAGTTACAACATACTATCGTCCAGAATTTAAGTTAAATTTCACAATCAAAATTTTTTGAAAACTAACAAATTAGTTTCATTTCTTAATTTCAGCATAAAACAAAAATCAATTTAAAAGTCGCTCCAATTAAAAGTTTGCATAAACTTTATCGCTATATTTTTAGTTGCATGTTTTAATTAATTTGTCACCAAAAATTCTGTCCTATTTTTTTATAGGTTTCACAAAGTGAACGATCGCAATTTAAAATTTCACAAAAGGTGAAAAATTTTATTGTTGGTGAAAAAGGAGGAATGAAATGAAAACAACGGCAGCCTAAATTGATTTTTATTAAAACAATAATATGCAAAAAACCGATTATTTGCATATTTAATTAAAGCAATTAAATACAACGCATTAATAATAAAACGACATGATTAATAAAACACTTAAAAGAACACATTAAAGCATTTTCTAAAAAGCACTATACAATGTTTAGTTTCACAATATCCACAAAATCTTAAACATAAAAATCAATTCAATACATCAAACATTTGATTCTCTTAACCTCGATGCATACCTTCCCTTCCAAGCCTATACCTTGCTTCACGAATCGGTCCATTGCAAAGGATATAATCCGTGCCACTTTCCTCCTACAAAATTTATCGTTTAATCAATAATCTTCATAAATTTAGTCAGAAAAAAAAACTGCAGATAATATCTTTCAAAAATTACGACTCGAATGAAATCAAATATATCTCACCACATTCGGATCAGCGATAAAAGTGTAATTTGAAGAATCGGAATTACAACATTCTTCATTGATTATTTTCTCAATCATCCGCAGAGCTCTGCGGATATTATGATCATATCCGCTGATTGTGAAGGTGGAACTTTGGAAGTGGCGTGGCAGAAATAATTCCGTCTGCGTTGCATATGCTATGAGATGTGATCGTTGATCTTCCTCTCCAACTAACACATCAATCATTGCAGCCGGGATTCTGAATGATAGCGATAAATAGTAATTGGTTGAAATCTTCAAGAAACTTTGTGATCAAATATTACAAATTCATATAATTGAAAACATGCTACAGCACATATTAAGAAGTTTGTAGTAGGAAAGAGATTAAATGAATGAAACTAAAATTTTTATTAACCTGAAGCTAACGACAACCGGAACAGATGATTCCATTTCACGCTGCCGTTGTTCATCTTGATAGCGAATCCGTTCCGCTATCAAATGTTTTATGCAATGGGGATGCTCGTTCAACCGATCCGTGCTCTGTATCTGTGGAGGTTCAACTGTTTTCTGAAAAAAGTTCGATATAATTAATAATTGATAAAAGGGTTCATCATGCATCATTGTTTTTGATGGGCTTTCTTTAAAGAAAGAAATTTCAACTAAGCAACTATCTGATAAGCCTCAATTTTCAGTGATTAAACGTTGATAATGGGTAAAAGAGAAAAATAAAATCGGTAAGAATCATTTCCGGATAAAATTGCTAAGTTGCAATAAAATCTATACTGAAGCAACTTTTGATTACGGAAGCTTTAATACATACCTAAATAACTGATCAAGAAACCAGAAAGAATGCAATTCTGATTATGAGAGTTGAATAGCGAGTAGAGGGTGAAATTAATTAAAATTAAAACTCACTCGGAGATGATCCTCCATACTTTTTTGAAATGCAGCAAAATTGAGCGATAAACGCATCTTCCGCAAACTGAAATATATAATTCAAATATATATGTATATATATAATCAAATATATAATTTCTTCATGCTTAAATTCCAATAAATTGTTAAGTTCCATTGCGAAACAATAAATTCATAGATAAAAAAATAGCGAAAATATGATTGGGAAAAGGGAGAAGCACAGAATATTAACTGAAGAAAAAAGATTCTCATATTATTTGACGGATTTAGAAGGAGAAATTGAAAGTAAACAATCATCCGATAGGCCTCAATTTTTACTACTAAATTTTAAGGGAAAGGAAGATTGTTATTCCAACAACAGTTGAAAAACACAACATCGGTAGAAATTAAAGCCACTAATAACCGCCTGATCTCATCCTGATCTTAGTGTCAATGATACATGGAAGAAGAGAGATGCGTTTATATAGGAGTAGAATCTGCACCTGCGCATCTTTCACTCAATCATCTCTCTCTCTCTCCGCCCCCTAATTATGCAGTAAATTTTGATTGACCTCATCATTAATCACTGTCCACTAATTATGCGATCTCATCAATAGCATGTATCAGTCAAATTACACAATAAAAACATGAAATGTGGTGGGAATCTCTTTGTAGTAGATCCGATGTATTTCTAATGTAAATAATGAATATTGCTACTTTGTCGGTTATCTCTTTGGCTAATTTATGTTATACCATCGAGTAAAATCGTTCCAAAGATTTTCTCTTCTTTGACCAGTAAAAATAATTTTTTGTTAATTTGTTCAATATTACAAAGATCCTGTTGATTAACCGTTAATTTTAAAACAAAAAAAAAAACGAAGGTATGCTTTGAGTGCTTAGCCGTGTGTAATTTCTAACCTGACTTTTAAAAGCACATATATATCATCACTCAGGTAACATTAATTGATAAAACTATAAACTGTTGAAAATAGAAGTTTTGATAATATTTCTTTTCATTGTTTTCTTCCAAATACACATTAAGCATCGCTAAGGTATATGAATTGTTGCAATAAAAAATGAAATTGTATATAAACATGATAACCATGATTTTCTGAGCTCATATATGATCCATTCAGTATTGCATAATAACAGAAAGAAAGGGTTTAAATTTGTTTGACAAATGTTAAATTACGCATTTATTTGGCTTTTGCATTCTGATAACATAAAAATAAAGTGTTGCAAACTGAACCAAATAATAGTGGATTCATTGCAACATTCCGAAAATTAAATGGAATGACATAGATCGGAAAACGAAAATAGCTAATAATGAATCCGTTGAAATAATCGAAATATTGTTGTATCGTAGAAATTTGTTCCACAATGAGAATGGTTGTTTTTCAATGGGTCAAATTGTATTACAATGGTTATTTGTTGTTTATTCTCTTCTTTTCCAAGGGATCATAAATAATGTGTTTCGCTTGTTGAATGATTATAAAATGTTCAGCAGCGGATTCTTTGATCACTTAATTCTCATTGTTGCCAAAGGATGTAAATAACA